GAGGGCACCAATCATACAGTCATAGATCCTCTCAAGGTTTGTATCTTCATATGCTTTGTCAATGTCTTGTTCGAGGGAGCCGAGCTTGGCCTCTACCTTCTCAATGTAGTCACGTTGAAGCCATCCTCGTTGAAGGGCTGCACTCATAGCCTCTTTGCTAATCTGGCGTGAAATATCGTGCTTCGGTAGCGGGGCCTCGGGCATCTCGAACTTGAACTGAATCGGGATGTGGTCCCATTTTCCCACGGAGTTGTGTAGTTGTAGTCGCCGAGCGCTATAATGAAGTAGGCAGCTTGATTGTACACCTGGCAGATGCAGTGGAGCAAATAAGTAATCGATCTGGCTGGATTCGCCTCGTGCGCCGAACCATGTGTCTCCAAGATTCGCGTGAGTATTTACAGCCTGCATATCCCATGCTTGAAGATAAGCTGGCAGGAGGTTTGCCTGTAGTCTAAGTCGGCGTCGATCCGAAACAAATGCTCCAATATGAGGCTCCTCGCATTGCAGGGTATCGCTCAAGTCTGTGAAAATGAATGGTAAGTACCTGTGTCCCATTTGACTGATCACATTGTGAATAAAAGCCAAAATGCGCTCGACGGTCTTCATGTGTTGTGCTCGCTTGGCCGTCGCCGACGGTTTGGGTGGAAAATACGCCAAGATTAATCCAAATCAGTCACTGCCCCTCTCGATGTTGACTGCTCCAACTCGTCCCCATAGATATTTGGGTACTTGAAATATGTGTCGGATGTGGTTCTTGTTGAACATACTCTTGTTGAGCATGACACTGACTCCGCAAGCGTTGCTGATGCCAGCTCCTTTTGCCCAGCCCCAGTGAATCGCGAAATGGTTCGGACGACGACGAGATGGCTCAGCAGGCCTCCCGCCTTCTGAGAAGCTCTCTCAGCCTTCTCCTAAGCCCCACCTCCTGAGATGGCCTGCCCCCGTCCGCTTCCCCCCTCGGCGCGTCGCCGATGGCAACGACTGCGTGAGTGCGAGAGCGTGTGCTCGCACGCGGAGCGGAGCAATCATATGTATTGCATCAGATGCCCCCTGCCAGAACAACAGCATGCGTGAGACCCGTGGACGGTCAGAACTAACTACATTTCCGATCGAGTGCGACGATGCCCTGCGGAAATGCCACATCCAAGCAGCCCATTCCAGGAGTGTCAATTCAATGTGCGGGTAGATGCTAGGGGATCGCACGGACACCAAGACAAGCAGAGCAAATATACACCACGCAATGGCGAAATAGCGCGAACGCGGACACCAAAGTGTCGTCAGCTAGCTTATGCATGGACTCGCTTGCACCTGTGCGTGCACACTCCATGTGCCACAACCTATCCTGGCTTTGGCATTTGTTGGCAAGGCAAGGCTTTCCGCGCGATTCCGCTTCCCCTTTCTCCAGCTGCCAATCATGCGCCCTTCCTCTCCACCGTTGAACATTGTCTCAGCGGCTCTTCATGCGAGCTCCCAGCGCAGAGTACAGAGTCCAATCCACCTCCTCTCCTCCTGATCCCTCCTGATCCCTCCCCCAACCCTTCCCCACAAGATAATTTCAAACAGCCCAAGTGGGCCCGAATACATGGGGCTGGAAACTCGCACCGCATAGCCGTTTTATCGGCGACGCCACAGAGGAGAACACTGGGCTCTGGATCGCACCGCACCGACGATGCATCCGCGATGTGGAGCGATCCTCCGATCCGACCTTAGGAAGCAACTTTTGGGAAGTCTTCCTAAGAACGATTGAAGCCTGTTAAGCCAAATTCACAAGGGCATTCAAACAAACGAAACCTGACCGTTGGCTGGATCAAGCGGGACGAAACGGAAGTGGCCGGGATTGTGCCAGATTCGGCTTGTTTCCGACCACGGATATACCTGCGTCGATGCTGCGCCTGACATCCCAAGAGTTGCATCCCGACCGTCTACTCCAGCCCCGGCGGGTCTGGCAAATCGTTCCCAGCAGCATGCAATTGTGCACGGGTCCTGGAACAAAAACGCCCTTGAGCCGGCAACGCTTGCCAGCGAGAGCGCAGCCGTGCTCCGAGACGCCAGGCGGCCTGCCAAGCTGACGCGAAAGGCAGAGCGGGAGAGCTTGCGGAGGATCCTCCGCTCGTCCCTCCCTCCCACCCTCCGTTTTCCTGATTTCCCTCCCGCGCCCTCCTGCACTTCCTCTGACCCTCCCCCGCCTCCTCCTCCTCCTCCTCCTCCTCCTCCTCTTCCTCCTCCTCCTCATCCTCCTTCAACCCTGGGGATTGGGAGGCTGTCCGACTGCTTTGGAGGTGAAGCGTAAGCCACGAGGTGCATCCTAGGCAACGGCTTGCCCCCAGCCTCAGTGGGATGGAGACCGCGACGTGGCCTCAGGAGCTTCGCGGTCACTCTTCTCTGGCAGAAGCAAATTGCTGGCGGCGAAAGGCGGTGGAGCGACGAGAGGTGATCACCTGCAGGTCTGGCTCGCAACACCTCGGACGCCTGCTGAACGTCTTGCCTGGACGTTTAATGCAGAACTGCCGCTATGAATGCACCGCGCGAGCTGATCGCGTCAGCAAGTCTAGTGAAGATATGTATCCGTGCGTGGTGGGACACGACCCACAAATCGCAGCGTGGCAGTTATCAAAGGCGACGTGACGACGCGCGGAGCCTCAACTCCGCACGGCACTTTGCATAGAGGAGGCAGGGTGAGAGAGATGGGGATGTGTGCGATGTCGGAGGTTGGGGGTGAGACCGAAGTGAAAAGGAGACCCCCCGCAGGGAAATCTGTTTCGGCTTCGTGTTCGTGTCGTGAGTGCGGGCGAGATGAAGCTGCGTAGGCGGGCGAGCGAAATACACCCGCCATGGCTAGGGCGAAACTGGGACAAACGATGCTGTGCCCCCAGGTTGGGCGTCGGTGGCAAGATGATGTCCCAATGGTGTCCCGATGATGACCCGATGGTGTCTCGACGTTGCCCAGCTGGTGGCCCGATGGTGTCCCGATGGTGTTCCGATGCTTTCCCCCGATGTTGCCTCGATGGTGCCCCGATGGTGTCCCGATGGTGTCCCGATGGTGTCCCGATGGTGTCCACATGGTGTCCCGATGGTGTCCACATGGTGCCCCGATGGTGTCCCGCATGGTCTCTCAATGCTGCCTCGATGGGTCCCTATGTCCAGATGGTTTCCCGATGGTGTTCCGATGGTGCCCTGATGGTTGCTCCGATGGTTGCCCCGTGAGGTCGGACGATAAATAGATAGAGAGATCTATGAATAGTGACACCAGTCGATTGTGACATCGATCTGTATCTTCATATATCTATAAATGTTAATACAGATCGGTAGATAGATCGTGGGACCGATTGTGGGATGGATAGTGGGGACGGGTTGATGATGACACTGATAGGTTGATAGAGCACCCGAAGGTGAGATCAATGGTAGAATCGATCAACAATCTTCTTAGCGGTGTCAAAATGGTGTCCCGATGGTGTCCAGACGGTGTCCACAAGGTGTCCCGGTGGTGTCCACATGGTGTCCCGATGGTGTCCACATGGTGTCCCGATGGTGTCATGTGCTTCCCCCACAGTGTCTTCAGGTGCTCCTCCCGATGGTGGTTCGATGATGTCCCGATGGTGTCCTAATGCTGCCGCAACGGTGTCTCAGTGGCCCTGTGGTTGTATGGGTTCCCGATGGTGCCCCGATGGCGTCCCAATTGTACCCCACGCCTATCGCTGGTTCCCCCCACAAAACCTCCTTATCACCCGAAGGGTGGTGGTATAGGTATACATATACAAACATGAGCCTATACGACCACCCTTCGGGTGATATGGAGGTTGGAGGGTAGGGGGAACAAAACAAACTGCTGGCAAATGCGATAGGTGTGATGATGACGATGCTGGTGACGCGCCCTCGAGCTAGCGACGACGCGTGATGACGATGGCGCGCTGCGGTGTAGTGCCACTATCGTCCCCGCGTCCGATCTCACTCGATCGATCCCACGATGGACCTCACAGGATCAATCACACCCGATCGATCTCACTAGATCTCACGATCGATCTCACGTTGGATCTCACTGTAGATCTCGCGTTCGATCTCACTATCGGTCTCACTATCGACTTCACGATCGATTCCTGTATCGATCCCACTATCGATATCACCATCGACCTCACAATCAATGTCACACTCAACCGAACTGTCGATCTCACTTCACTCTCCATCCCATCATAAAGATCCCCTCATCCATCTCACGATCGACTTCACTATCAACACCAAGGCAGAACACCTCCGGCCACCGCCCGCCCACCGCCGAGGAAAAAACCGACGGAACACTAACGGGACAACAACGGGATACCAAACGACACACCCTGGGCCACCGCGCGCCCACCGAGGGCGGAGAGCCGGTGCACTGCATCCGAATCGCCCTGGCGACGGCGGGGTCATGTCTCTCGCGCGCCCACGCCGCTTCGCCTCGCCCGCACGCACGACACGAACACGAAACCAAAACCGAATTCCAAGTAGTGGGCTCTCCGTTCCACTGCGATCTTACACCCGAGCTACAGAAGCAAATGACACACACGCACATACACACACGAGCGCGCACACGCAGAGAGAGGGTGAGAGAGAGAAAGAAAGTGCGAGAGACAGAGACAGAGCGAGAGAGAGAGAGAGAGCGAGAACCGAACGAGACAGAGAGTGAGAGAGAGAGAGAACACAACACATAGAAACAGAGCGGGCGAACCAATCTACCATGGCGGAAGGGCCTTGGCATCGTCATGCGATTGTGATGCTTGGTCTCCCCTGTGGGGCACTGCCAAATCACTTATGCTGGACACCTCCTACGCGGTAGTGATGGGACGGACCCCTCCGCGGCGAAATCCAGCAGCAGCAGCTCCTAGGAGCATTTCACTGAATGCGAGATGGAGATGCAGGGGATGCATCGCGCCATCATCGAGGTCGGCAGCACGACCACCACTACTGAAGATCATCTTCAAGAAGACCCCCTCCTAGGAGGGGGCAAGGGTGGGAAGTACTCGCAGATGCGCAGGCGTATGCTCAATGCGAAGATTGCTTCCCAGATCACGGCGCTGCAGGAGGCGATGCGTAGCTTGATCTCTCAAGTTAATGGGGAGCATCGTGGTCTGCTGGCGCCAGCCAGTTTGAACCACCTAAGAAGATCGGGACGTCACGGGCGCGCAGGAAAGACCCTTGCCTGCTCACGCGTCTCAAGAAGCTTATCCAGAAGGCTGACAGCATGGAGCAGCCACCCACGCACAATGCTGTTCTTCACGGGCTGCAGGGTTTGCTCGAGAAGTACGGCACTGCAACCACGGCAGCCGAAGCTAAGGACACTACGAAGCCTCCTCCTGCCAACACCACCAAGTATAAGCTGCTCCAACACCCGTGGGGGCAAGCAAAGGTATGGTCAGCTTCATCGGTGAAGGATCGCACGTTTGACCCGAAGATGCCGCCAGTGGTGACCTGCCAGAACCTAGAAGAGTATGAGAATGCACAGCGTTGGTTTGAGGCTCGAGGCAAAGAACTCCCACACGCAAAATATGTGTTATTCGGACAAGAGCAGATTCCTGCCGGGTGGACTGAACAGGACGTACCAGTGGAGCACGCATCTGGTGGTGCCACGAAGGTCAAGGCTCTCGTCAGGAAGTGGGGTGATCACGCTCCAACACGCCGTGGTCTGCCAGGCGGGGTCAAAGACGATCAGGTCGAAGACGCACCCACGGCCAAGCCGATTGCGTTCCGCATCACCGTCGCCAGGGAATTCTTCACGGAGGACTGGCTGTGGGCACAAGCATCATCTAAGCCTGTGGCTGTTGGAGGCCTCATCTTCAACGCGCCGACTGCGAAGATGCTCCTGCAGACTAAGGGAGCTGTGGGGTATCGAACGGAGGTCACGGCCATTCTCCTCGTGGCCCCCGACAACAAGAACAAGTTCCTCGAGCATGCCCACCCAGAGGGGGTCTTCTTGAATCAGCAAGCCTCTCCTCTCGTACCAGTTTGGCATAGAGTGCGAGACCAAGAGTCCATGGCCAGCTACTACGCCAGAGTCAGCGGGGTTGCCAAGACCTCGGAGGGACGCCTGGTCTACAGGCCGAGTGACAACAGCAGCCTCGGAGTTTTATCCAAGAAGGTGATCGCTGCGAACATCCAGCCGCGGTGGACTTTGCAGAATACTCCCCTCTCGTGGTCGGACGCAGACACGGTCAGCAGCTGGGATACGCAGAGGGGCTTCAAGAATGTCAGTGGTGTCGTACGGTGTGGGGCCCGCAGGTGGTTCCCCAGAGGCGACGTCGAAGCTCTTGAGAAGGATCGTGTGCTGGAGCTCCGCCCTGGCATCATGGCCTCCGTGGCCGCGCCGAGACGACAGACGCGAGCCCCGCCCCCAGGCAAGTCGGCGACGGCCTGGGGAGCTCCGTCACCAGATCGTTCGGGCGACATCGTGAAGGAGGAAGACGAGCACAAGGAAGTTCACGGTTCGAGCCCGGGCGGCGGCAAAGGGTGCAAGCCACAGAAAGCACCGAAAGAGGGAGGTCAAGCAGAAGTACGACGCATTCCCCAGGCAGCCCCTTGGGAACCCTATTCCAAAGAGAGAGAAAGAGTGCGGCAGCAAGGGCGATTGTTTCTAGGGCTGTGCCTCTTACCACAAGCACATGTCTCGCACGAATCACAAGCCTCTCTCGGCCGAGGATGCTGGTGCAGGGGGGAAATTGCAGGCTACTCCACGTGTGAGTGTGGCGGCAGAGCTCCTCAAGGTGAAAGTACCAGCAAAAGATGCAGCAGCTCAGGGCAAGAATGACACTTGGGCAAATTCACAGGCGCTGCGAGCCGCAGCAAATATTCTCAAGACAGATTTCTCAGTCTGGAAAAAGCAGGGCGACCAATGGAGGTTATACACTTCTCCAGCGGATATTGCTACTACGTCACTACAAGTTGCTCTGCGGCAAGACGGCGGCCCCACCGACAGTCGAAGCTGAATGGCGACAGCACGCTCGACCTTATCCTCATCACTTCACAGATGGTGGTTCTACAGAGGGAGGCTCAGGCCGAAGTTCCTCGCCAAAGCGTTCTTTGACAAGCAAAGGGGCGCGCGGCGCCCTGGGCTTGTCTACTCCGTCCAGGCCGGCGTCACCTCGACCTCTCTCGAGCAGGGCAGCGCGCAGTATCCTGGGTATATCCACGCCGAAGTCGAAGGCGAAGGCAACATCCTCAGCCTCGGCGAGACCACTCTCGAGCAAGGGGGCCCGAAGCATTCTGGGGTTGGCCAAGCCGACGCCGAAGAAGGGTCCGAGGCCTCTCTCCACAAGGGGGGGAAGAAGTGCCCTGGGAGTTGTTGATGATCAAGACCCAGAGCCTAAAGCAGTCCAACCACGTGCACATCAGTTTGCGCATTGGAATTGCCAGTGCGGCTGGAAGCCAGACTTGGAGAACCAGACGGCGAACTCGATCAGGGGCCAGGCCAGATCCCACTGGAGGAGATGCCAGGGTCTTGAACTACCACAAGAGTTAGCCGACACCAGAAAGCTACGATATCACGTCACCCTCGTCGCAGCGATGTCCCAGGGTAAGCGTGACATGGCCTGGAAGAATGTCAGCAAGTGGTGGGACGACCATCCGCCCGACATCAAGGAGGTCTCCTGCGAGATCAACGAAGCCAGTTGTCATGCGATCCAGAGGGCCACGATGAGGCAGACGTACTACACGTGCTCGAAGTGCGGCAAGAACACATGTCTCTCGAGGGTCAAGTCTATTCCCTGCAAAGGGCGTCCAGCGGGCAATTCCTTCAAGGACGCCATGGCGAGGAAGGTGGGTGCGGCCAAGACGGAGCACTTCCACCAGCGGAGGTACAAGCAAGTCAAGATGAGTTGGAAGAAGAGGGCTACTCGCGAGCCCGATGACTACAAGGAGTACTACGCCCAGTACGGCCGCAAGCCATACGCGAGGAGGAAGGCGCTGGGCCTCATCCCGACGAGGCAGAGAAAGATCCTCACGAAGTCCGAGCTGCAGGCCCTCAACGCACGTCGGCGCGAGAGGTGCGCCGCCCGCAAGGCGGCGGCAGCAGCTACATCTTCCTCGTGACGGGAACCGCTCCCGGGTGGAGGACGGCGGCGTTCCACGACGCCCCCCCGGGAGCCGAGTCTCAAGAAGCAGCGCACAGAGCTCTCGGCCACGGGGATCTCCGAAGGAGAACCTCACAACAAGAGAGCACGAAAGAATCCAAAGACAGTTTGCACTGTCCATGGTTCAAGGACAGTTTGTGCTGATCATAATCCAATGGCCGTATTTGCGGACCCAAAGGCAGCGGGAACAAGTTCATCTTCATCTCCAGCTTCAAAAGCAAGCAGTGTTGCTCTGGCCACAGCGTCGGGGCTCCCAGGAGAACGACATGTTCAGGGGGAGGAGGAGGAGGGAGGAGGAGGGGGGGAAGGAGGAGGAGGAGGAGGAGGAGGAGGAGGAGGAGAGGAGGAGGGGAGGAGGAGGAGGAGGAGGAGGAGGGGGAGGAGGAGGGGGAGGAGGAGGAGGAGGGGGAGGAGGAGGAGGAGGAGGAGGAGGAGGAGGAGGACGAGGACGAGGAGGAGGAGGACCACGGTCAAGACCAAGCAGGACGACACGCTCACCCAGAAGATGACCCACAGCATGTTCCAGTTGCAGGACTTGCCCAGGATCCCACACCAGGCGAAGCAGTACCTCCAGCCCCAGCTCCCTCGAATCGTCATCAGGAGAAAGCCAGGTTCACGACCCTGTTGGCCTCCGCCTCTGCTCAGGAAGCGGGCGCGGTGTGCATGCAGGAGTCTCGACGCTATGATGAACAACCACGTTGGATTATACAACAAGCAGCTCGAGCGGGATGGAGCGCGGCTTGCTCTGCACCCCCGCCCATCGTCATCGCCAGGGGCCACCGGCGAGGAGCACCACTGCAAGGTGGATATATTATTCTCTGGAGACGGTCCCTGGGTAAAGCTACGGTGCTACGCAACTCTCAGCTGGGTCACAAGATGATCGGCGTTCGGTTTCCCCGGCCACTTTCCTATCAGTATACGGACCAGCTGAGATGAATCGCAATTGGATTCAGGACGCGTTCACCACCTTCCAGAACATGAGCATCATAGGCTGCCCTATCTACGTGGTGGGGGACCTCAACTGGAGGCGAGCCTACCAGGATGCTGCAGCACATTGGAAGGTCAACACTACGAAAGCTGGAGTTGATACGTCGACTACAGTTGCGGGGACGCAGCCCACACGTGCCTCCGCTGGGGGTCAGGTGCTCCGCCAGTACATGTTTGCACAGAGATACTACCTGGAGTTCCACATCACTGTTGCATATCTTATGAGTTGGAGATCCCTTTCTTCCAACAGCAAGCTCAGCGTCTCAGACGTACCGCTGCTTTTGTGCAGATAAAGAAGTCGGCGTCGGAGGAGGAGTGCAGTCTCATGCAAGAGCAGGTTGATCAGTTGCTGGGTCCTCCTCATCTCCCCGAGCCAGACGAAGAAGAACATCGAGACCTGGTTGAGCGCTGGAACAGCTGGCATCAGCGGGCGGAGTGCGCTTTAAATATCGCAGTCAGTCATCAGTGTGTTGCGCTGGAGATGGAGGCGGAGCGGGCCAAGGGGTCGGCAACCACGATGCGGCCGACGGCCAACTCTCCACACCATCGAGAAGATCTATCCATAGCGCTGAGGAGGCTCCTCAGACTACATCGACGCTTTGCGGACGCTCTTCGACGAGAAGGGCACCCTACTTCAGGTCTCAGTGTCAAGCACTTCGGTCAGTTGGCTACGGCTGCGCTCGACGGGATCGTGGAAGTACAAGCGATTGGACATCCCACATATGGGGGCGCTGCTGATTGGTTATCACACGCTATTTCTCGTGAACAAGCTCGGTTGCAGCAACGGTCAAACAAGAGCTGGAGACAACGTGTCGCGACGTGCAGCTACACCTATTTTCAGAAGCTCATCCCCAGCGGCAGCCATGACGGCCGAGGGGATGAGACGCCAACGGCAGCAGGTTTGGAGTCCAGAAGCGTATCATCCCGATCGTCATCTGGAGAATTGGCGGCAGCATGCAGACACTGTTGTACTTCCTGAATCCCCAATGACATCCGATTGGGAACCAGAGTATGATATGTTCGAGAAAGCGCTGAAAGAAGCAAAAAAGTGTGCAGATGGCTGGAGTTACCGTGAGCTCCGAGCCCTGGCGCGCCTGTTCCCGACCATCACGCGTGAGCTCGTCGAGTTATGGCTGGATACCTCTCGGCGTGCAGTTCTACTTCGAGGACGTCTACCACAGCATATACTGGATCTTGTGTTTGGATGGCGTATTGCAGGCATTCCAAAAGGAGAGTCAGATACCAGGCCCATTGCTGTAGCCTCAGTGTTGCTTCGAGTCTGGTTGAGAACGCTTGCAGTGGCGGCCCCATCGCCGCCAGACAATCAGTGGGCAAATCGCTCAGGATCATCAGTTGCACACGCCATCAGTGCGTGGCTGAACGACTCCACCGAGTCCACCGACGGAGCCGAGATGGACTTGAGCAAGGCATACGATCACGTTGGGCATGGCATTGCATTGGAACGCTTAGACAGGTCGGGCTTCCCCGACATCATTCTCTTCGTGTGCGCTGCGGCCTGGTCAGGCCCTCGTCTTTGCTCAGTCCATGGCGCACTTGCAAATCCAATATATCCAAAGAGAGGCCTCCCACAAGGGGGGCAGCCTCGCCCCATGCACGCTCATCGCCACCCTCGTGCCGTGGCAGCCTCAAGGCAGAGGTCTCTGCTTCGTGGACGACAGGTCGTTGACCAACCAGCCCCCCTGAGCTGCTGAAGGACGATCTCGACATGACGGCGGTCTTCGACGAGTCCATCGGCTACGTGGAGAACGTGAGCAAGAAGAGGCAGATGCGGAGTGATGCAACTCAGACACATACCCTCATCGAGCACTTGGGCATCCTCGCGGCGATCACCAACGACAAGATCCCCACTCTTCCCCGCCAAGGTTGGTCCAAGGTGGAGGCGAGTATCGACAAGCTGGGCACCATCCCAGGCACGCAGATGGTCTGCGCAAAACTGGCCATGGCATATGTACGACCTCTGTGGACGTGGGCGGGACCGTTGACAGCCACACCTCCCGTGCAATTGGCCAAGACGTTATTCCGTCCCATCATACGCACGTCGTCCAGGTGGTGGTGTGCAGGCAGGTGGTGGGCCCAACATATTCGTTTGCATCCTGTTTTTTCTGCCTCTAACATGGGGCTAACCAAAGCTCAAGATCCCAAGATTGTCTGGTCTGGATATTTGGACACAGCCATGCAGCAGTACGCTACTGCCTTGGGATTGCGATACATCAGATTTTCACCCCAGCGGGGAGTCCAACTCGAAGTCGATCCGCATGATGATCATCGGAAACACAAAGCCACAGAGCAGTTGGTGGACGACTACTGGCGCTCCTGGACAGGCAGCGACAAGGCCCTTCACGCACTTCGAGTGGTGGCAAGGACCCGCTGTCTGCGGCAAGTCAACGGCAAAAGATGGGACGCGGAGAGGATTTCAGAAGTTGATCCCGAGGTTCCTTCCAGCAAGATCTTCACCAAGTGGACAGACAAGCTGAACGATGACGACCAGGCTCTACTGAAGATATTTCGAAGTGGAGCGGTCTCATCCGAAACGAGGAGGACGGGGTTCCCGTGCAAGCATTGCAACAAGCCCTTCCCCTCCTTCGGCCACCTCACTACGGAGTGCCCCAGGTACCGTCAAGAACGAGAAGAAGCTACGATGAAGTATTCCCTGCCTCTGGCTTTCTGGCCTTCGATACCCAGAGTGACAGCGAAGGCAGGGTGGATCACTGACGACATGTCCGAGACGTACCAGGACCGCGCGAGGATGATGACTGCAGTATGTTATGGGGCTATTTCCATCCTGCAGGGCGGCCTCGAAGAGATTCTCACAGATCCCACACACATGGGTTGATTACCCCGTGTGGACTATCTAGTGCAGAGTTGTGTCGAATGCTGTCGATTGATCTTAATCATGTCCGCGTCAGGAGCATCATTTCTTGATGTGAGCTGTGCATGCTGTCGTTTTTCTGATCTTGATCTCTTCAAGGTCGGCTACAGTTATTTCATCTTCCGGTGGTTACTTTATTGTCTCAGTGAATGGAAGTTATTAGCCAGACGAGAGCGTCTACCACATACTTATGATGTCGCTTATGGAGTTTATATATATATATATGTATATAGATGGGGCACTGCCAAATGACCGCGATCTTCGTGGGTGTGCCGAAGTGGGCGAGGTGGCGCCATGCGGGCGTGGCCACTGAAACCGCTGATCCTTGCGAGCAGTGTGCCGAAAGGAGCGCGGTGCCGCCATGCGTTGGTGAGGGGTGCGCCGAAGTGAGTTTAAACAGCCATGGGCCGTGGCCGCGAAGGTCGCAGGTGGAACTTTCTATCGGGCCACGATCCCCGCGGGGAGTTTGCCGAATTGAGCGCGGTGTCTCCATCCGACCATGACCCGTGATACCTGTCGAAGGAGCCCCCATATGGGGCCACAGCCCTGGTGAATTAGATGTGGGAGTAGGCGTGGTGCCGCCGTGCGGTCGTGGCCACTGATATAATGTGTGGAACCCCCCATCTGGTGCCACTGTCCTTGTGAACAGTGTACCAACATGAGCGCGGTGCCACATGCGGGCATGGTCACTGAGACCGTAGATGGAGCGCCCAATGGGGGCATGAAGCGAGTTAAGGCCGTGCCGAAACTGTCAGGACATGCGCTGAACAGGAGCAGGAAGAGGTCAATTGGGGTATGTTTTGCTGAACAACCGCCCTGAAAACATTGCGCCAGCAAGCGGGTCCGATTGGCCGTGGCCTGGGCCCTGGACCCAGACACGCACATATATATATATATATATATATATAAATGACCCAGACACGCACATATATATATATATATATATATATATATATAAATACACACAGTATCAAAATCACAATCTCACACACACACACACGCACGCACACACACACACACACACACCCACACGCACAAGCACACGCACACGCACACGCACACACACACACACCACACGGCAGATGCATGTCACACTCACGCGGCGGCCGCGGATGTGGGCAAGCCACGAAGGACCCCGGGGGAAGGATGGGGAAGTCATGACGGCGCGCCCGCCGTGCTATCTCGAGCCCTCCAGGCCTGGGCCGGCCCCGAGCTCCGTCACAATCTGCCCTGGGGCCCAGGGGATTGGCCGTCCCCCACGCCGCCCTCAACCCTTCCCCCCTGGCCTGCCCCGGCCGACGCGCGAGGGCGACGAGGGGGCGGGGGCCAGTTGGCGGCGGGGGGCAATGCTGCGGGGTCTTTGAACCGACGAGGATCCGTGGCTTCAGGGGCACGCGCGAGTCCCAAGTCGAGATCGCACTGCCCGCCCACCCCCTCCATCCGAAAGCGCACCCGACGGACGACCTGGAGCTGGTGCGGGCCTGAAAGGCATGGGGGAGCAGGCAGTTTACCGCGGGGCCTGGGGCTCTGGGTCAGAGCCTCCTCGGACTCAGGAGCCCCCCCAAGACTCGCAAGGGAGGACGGCGGGGTCGGAACTGCAGAATGCAATTCGTCCATGCACGGGCCTCCCTGAGGCCCTTACAAGACCGCGGCTTCGGCCGCCATGCAAGTCCCCCTCCTCGCAACAACGATCGCACGTCCACTGGCCGGACCGTCTGCGGACGAAGTGAGGAACGAAGGAGGTTCAGGCGGCGACCGAGGCTGTCGAGCGGCTCTCGAGCGCTGGCGTAGGAATCGCGCGCCCCTGCAACCGCCGCTGCCGCGCCGGGCAGCGCATCCTGGAAGGCTGAGCGGGATCGGCCGCTTGGTCAGCGTTGAACGCGGCGACGTGAGGCAACACCGCGTCGATCCACAACGCACCAGGGCAGGTCGTGCATCTCCCCGCCTCCCTTGCCATCCCCACCAACCTGTCGCCGAGCTTAGAGAGGTCAGCTTCTCCCCCGAGACCCCAGACTGACGGTCCGCACCGGGTCTCGGAGCGCATCGAGCACGCGAGCTGCGCGGGCGCGCTCGAGGCCGGGCCGCGCTCCTCGCCCGAGCGGCGCCACATCCGCTTCCAGACACCATCGCTCTCCTCGCGCGGGCAAGCGCGCCAGCGACGCCCGCGCTGCAGGCCTTCGCGGGCGGCGATCGGCGCGGATGGGCAACGGCGCCACGCCCGCCGATCAAGACTTGTAGGGCAACGTCGGGTCGTGGATGCCACGACGCTGGACACTCTGACAGCCCTACCATATGCAAAAACGCTTTAAGCATGTGTGTGTAGCCTTTGTCACACTTGCATACGTCCATGAACATGTTTTAGACATCTGGGCAATCTGTGGCAGCCTGCCCCCTCCCCACGGATCGCCCGGCACCAAGCGTGGGGCCCTGCACGGGGCGAGATCTCGCAGCGCCCTGGGGCATCGAGCCGATGGCCGATGGCCGAGCCGCGCGCCCGCACCCCGCTCGGGGCGCCAACGCTCTGGGGCGCGCGCGCGCTGCGGCGCGCCGACGCGGCAACCTGCCGCGCGAACCGTCCTCGAAGACGGAACCAGGCGCGACCGCGTCACGCGAGCGGCCGAAGCGCCGCGCCCCTGAGTCGCCACGGGGAGACAGGACGGGCAGCGACGACACCTGAGATGGCGAGCGGGAGCGGGGAAGGTCGCCGAGCGCCGCCCGCGCGGCCGCCACTGGGGCGCGATGGCCCGTCGCCGCATCGCGCGTATTGGACGACTGCGGGGGGCGCTAATGACCGACCACCCCTGACAATCGCACACGGGGGAAACAACACGACTTGCCCCTGCAGGTCGACGACGACAACGACGGCGACGGCGAGGATGCTTTCCTCCCACTCTGAGATGGATCCTTGGCGCGTGCCCTTGAGATCCGAAAGCGTGCGCCCCTCGCCAGGCAGCCACTCCTGCGAGCATCCTCGAATCGGCGAGAAGTCCACGCCCTGCCGCGCGCTCGTGATGTGCGACAGCTGAGATGGTCAGACCCCCACTGCCATGCCGCGCGTGTGTGACGGTGTTGCTGGTCAACATAAGAAGATTGCATCTTCGATCCGTAACTGTCTTATCCGCGATAGTAAAGTCCAGCCTTGCCGCCCCTCCCCCCCGACCAGCTCTGCCTCGGCCGGGGATAATCAACTCTCGGCGGGGATATGGAAAGGACGTGATTTATTATCTGGGGCTTGCGGTTAGCGATGATGCCCGGCGCCTGGGGCGCGCTGGCAGCGCGGGCAGAGCGGGCGGCCGACGTAGGCGCGCTCGCGGGCGCGCTGCCGCGAGAAACGCGCGTCGTCTGCTCAAGCGCCCGTCGATTGGCTTCCTTGTCTGCGGGCAGCGCGGCGCGGATCGAAGCCGCCCGCGCCCCCGCGGGGCCTCTGCGGGCCCCTCGGCCCCCACCGACGGCCCCTCCACGCTGGAGAGTCAGCCATCGCGGGGCGGCGGGGACAGCACACTGCGTGCCCAAGACCTCCCCCGACCTCGCCCACGACGCAACGGCCGACGAGCGCGATTCGCACCTGCGCCGGGGAGAACAGGGCCGAGAGCGCCCTCCGGGGCGCGCGCCCGACCCGAGCTGCAAGCCGCCTCGGCGCGCCGCGCCTGCTGCGCCACCTCGCGCGCCGCCCCCGTCGGCGCGCCGCGCGCAGAAGCAGTCGCGGACGGGCCCCGCAGCACGTCCGCTCCGGCAGGGCGCTGCATCTGGCGAGGCATTCCAGCTGCGAGGCATGCCAGCTGCCCGGCGAGAGCTGCCGCTATAGGGCGTGACCTGCGCCGTGCGTGCGAGCCGGCAGTCCGGAACGCAGCCCCCCGGGCGGGCTGGCCGCGTGCGGTGCCAGGCCCGGTCGCCTCACTGTTGGAATTCTGGGGCCTAGTGTCACGAGCCCTGACGCGTCTGGAGCGGTGGGCGCGCCTGTTCACGGCCTGGGCGCGCAGGCCGGCCTGCCCCGCGCCGAGCGCGTCGCGAAGTCCAGCCGAGTCTGCGCGAAGTTCGTCTCGCGCCACACGTCCGGCCACAACCTGCAGCGCCGATGCGTTCAAGGCCGCCACGCCGGCCTCCGCGCGCGCCACGGAGAGACCTGAGTCTAGCAACTTGTCGCGCGGCTGCCTGGCGGCGAACCGTCACTGATGGGGCGCCGCAAGCCACGCGGACATCGATAACGCGAGAGACAGGCTGGGCAGTTGCCCTTCGCGCCGCGGTAAGTGCCCGCGTCATCCCCAGCAGGACGGGCCACCGCGGCAGCGGGAATGTGGTCGAGGAAACCGCCAACGCCAAAGATAGCGCGCTAAGCGTCGAAAACGGCAACGATTGGACATGAGGGGGGGCCTGCATCCCTGCAGGGCCACAAACATAACGCACAAGCACACACACATGCACACACGCACACGCACACGCACACGCACACGCACACGCACACACACACACACACACACACACACACACACACACACACGCGGGAATGTCAGACACGTGCGGGGTGCTAGGGGTGCGGATGTGCGATGAGGGAAAAGGGATAAGTACGAGGGAGGGAGAGAGGCAGTGACAGAGACAGACAGACACACGCAGAGAAAGAACGAGAGAGAGAGAAATACAGAGAGAGAGAGAGAGGGGCATATAGAGAGGGAGAGAGAACGAGAGAGAGATAATACATACATGTGAACTGAGTGAGAGATGACACGAAATGACAGTAGTTAACTGGGCGGCTGAGCTGCGTCCTCGCTCTCGACGTCTGGAAGTTGGCCGATTCCGTCGTCCCTGGCCCTACCAAGGCAACAACGAATATCACCACATGTTCCCTGCGGGCCTATTAGCCATAGAAGGCCGGTGAAGAGCCCCATCGAGAACAAGAACGAGTACATGATCGTGATGCAAATCAGCGTCGCCATCTTGTTGAAGAACGTGAAATCCGCCACCTAGCCCCTTGCAAGTTGAGGCGTGGTAGACAGCCAAGGGCTGTCTGACCGGGCTTCTGCAATGCTTCCAAGCCCCCCCCGCTCTCCTAGCATCCCCTCGCATGCACCATCTCCCCTTGCCTTCGCAAAGAGCGACTAAGCCGTGCTCTCCAGGGCACGATCGGCTGTGGGCCCGCGCTCCCGAAGAAGACACGACCCCATGTAAAAATTAAGTGGCCCACGCTACCGAGCATCCAAGACTGCCAAGGCATGCGACCAGGGCCGCCAAGAATGCCCAATATGCCTTCACAACGGCCCGAGATGGCCACAAGGCGACCTAACATTGCATCAAGAAAGACCATGACGCCCCCAAGACGGCCCGAGAGGACCACAAGAAGACCTCCAAGAAGGCCAGAATCAATCAACCTCGTGGGTGTGTCCTCTGCTTTTCACAGGTGTGAATGTCTTGACGTCTTCACACGTGCAGGCGCCTTGCAGGTACGGACGGCCTGGGAAGGCACCGAGATGACCACAGGACGGCCCAGAATGGCTCAAGACTCCTGCAAGAGACGGCTCCAATGAACGCCCAGCAGAGCCAACGCCTTGACGGCCCAAGACGGTCCAAAGACTGCCCCACAACGGCCGCAAGATACCCTCAGGCGGCCAAGAAGGCCCCAAGACGGCCGAAGGGAGTCCCGAGAGGGCCCGAAGGCGGCCAAAACTGGCCCAACGGACCCCCCAAGACTGCACGAGAAGAGCCCAAGAAAGAGCGGGGACGATGAAGGAATACGGGGAAGCCTGGAAGAGAACCCCCGACACGACGCGGCACGCTTGTCACGGCCTTCCGAAGCCTCGAGGGAAGAGGGGTCCCCCGCGACCTGTCGCCACCCAATGTGCTGGGCTCTCACGGTGGACAGGCTTGCCGCAGGCAGCTGGATAACAAAAGAACATGACAAATGCAGAGCCGGCCGTGGTCACCGCGCCAGCAAAGATGGTGGAGCCCATGTTTCGCACCGCGAAAGTGGCTCGCGCGTCTCTTGTCTGGTGACCTTTCTTGGAAGCCTCACAGTAGACGTGCGCAAGGTGAACAACGTAGTCCACCGAGTAGCCGATAACAATGACACCTGCAACTGCTTCGGCGATGCCCAAGCCCCAGCCCATGGCGCTCTTGCAGAAGCCGAGGACGCAAGCCACGATGCCGCCCACGCAGCTCACAGCGTAAACGGAGACGATCCAGTTGCGGGTCGAAACCAGAAGCGCGACAAACGCAAGTGGAAACGCTATGGAGATGCCACTGAATAGAGCCATCACCATTTGGGCAGCGGAGTCGTAAAAGGAAAACATGCCGCCGGCGTTGAACCTCATGCTCTTCAGTCCGCTGGGCGCGCCGCCCTGCCTGCCCCGAACAAAATCCTGAATCATGTCACGGACTTCTATGCCCGAGGAGTACGGCGTACTGAGAGCCAATCGTGACCGCAACTTTACGGACACGTATTTCAGCTGCCCGTCGATGAACCCCACATCGTAACCGTAGTCTGCTCGGCACACCTTCGAGGAGTATTGAACCGACGGGTCTGCCTGGACGAACTGCTGGAGCTCTTCCAGAAAACCGGCCCCTGTCGGCAAGGGCTCGCTGGACGGCCTGCCCATCACGTCCACCCGGTACTGCTGCATATCTTCGAGGAAGCAGGAGTACGCCTTGGAGGTGGAACTCATCATCAGTGTATGCCCGTAGCCCTCGCAGCCCTCTAGGTCGCAAGCCAGGGTCTGCATCTTTGCGCACACGTCAAGGATTTCGGCCTGCGCCTCGGCCGTGGTGATGTCGAACGATGGGTCGAACTTGGCCGTTGGGGGGTTCTTGCTTGGCCTGTAGGGCTCGAAGCCGGCTGTGTCTGCTCCTTCGATGCCCCACGTGAAGGTGATGACTGAGTACCCCGCGTGACCCCCCTCGTAGAAGTGGTTGGACCAGAACTCCGAGACGCCCCAGTGCATGTGGTCCTTGGGGAGCCAGGTCTCCGCCTTGGTCGGCGGCGTCAGCTGCAGCGCGAAGCAGAAGCCCTGGGCTGCCGTCGCCATCATGACTGCGACGACGCCCAGGGCAAAGACGCGGACGCCGCAAACCTGCTTGCGCATCGCTGGAATGTAGATGGTCTCCAAGAGCCATTTCATACACCCGTCTTTGGCCAAGGACTTAGAACGGCGGCCGACTCTCTCACCTCCCGGGAGCGGCTCCTGGCGCAGCGTAGGCGAGGGACAGCAGCATCTCTTGCCCTCTAAACGCTTGTGATATATGATTAGGGCTGACGGCGTGAAGAGCATGGTGAACAAATAGTTCATGATGATGCAGGTCGCTGCGTAGTAACCGCAAGTCCTCAGAGGCATGATGTCAGACACCGACTGAGAAAGAAACGCCACGGTGGTGGTGAACGACGTGCTGAATATGGCCTGGCCGCTGCGAACGAGGGTGGACTGCAACAGCGCGGCGAGTTCCTCGTCGCTGTGAAGGCCGCCGTCGGCTGGCAGATGCTCATCTGACAGGTGGCGGAACGTGTCGACAAGCACGAAGACGTCGTCCGCCCCGATGCCGAGGACGAGATAGACGACCAAAATATGAACGAAGTCGAAAAAATCGATCAAGAACAAGCGACGGTAGAACAGGGCGCCCACCGGAAGCGACATAATGATCTGATACATCGTGACACAGGCCAGGAAGCTGGAGCTGACGTGCACATATACGATCATGAAGACGATCAAAACGGCGGCAACTGCCAGCGTAAAGTCGCCTGCAACCATGCTGTCCTCCTCGTCTGACTCGAAAGCGAGCCTCACCCGCAGCGGTCCGGACGGCTGGAACCCGCCGACCCTCGCTTGCCGGCGGTCAGAGAGCGCGTGGGACACCTGACCAGAGAGGAGCGGGAAACGTCGCTCCTGTAAGTGTGTCTCGTGAAGGTTCTCCGTCGTGTTGGCCTTCAACGCTGCTGCTGCGTCGGGCTGTCGGCCTTGCTTGCCCGCCATGCTCAAACAATCTGGAGTGCTGGTCAGCCGTGCTGCCGTGGTCTGGTGCGCTGGTCTGTCATGCTCCTGTGGTGTTCTGCACTGGTCTGCAAAGCTGCTGTGGTCTGCCGTGTTTGTCTGCCATGCCGCAGGATGCGCTATGCGCCCCGGGTTCCCGGTTCTGGGTTCCCGGGTTCCTAGTAATTGGTTCCGGGCCGATTTCGGTGGGTTCCGGGTGCCCAGGTTCCCGGTCGATCCCCTAACCATCCACTGATTGGGGGTATTCACTGGTGCAAATCTGTATGTATTATGTAGGTTGTGTACGGAGCGGACTGCTGCGAGTGTGTTTTGCATGTTGTGGTCGGGTGTGTGTTGCACTAGGCGGCCAGGAAGGGAGGCCTAACTCTGGCCGTGCCGAACATGTGCTCGGCTGGCGGGGGGAGGGCGTGCGGTATGTGCGAGTGTGCTGTGGGCGTTGTGCGCTGTGAGTCTTATGGCATGTGCCCTGCGTGTCGTGAGTTTTGCGTTGTGCGTTGCGTGCTGTTTGGTGTGTGTGTGTGTTTGTATGTGTGTGTGTGTTTCGCGTACCCTGTGCGTGAGAGTGTGTGTGTGTGTGTGCGTGCGTGCGTCATGTGCTGTACGTTGTGTGCCCTGTGTGGAATCCTGTGTGATCTGCCCTATGTGTTGAGTGGCGTGAATGACAGGTGGTATGTGGATGCGTGTGATAGTTTAAGTGGGGGGCCCTGCGATGGCATTGCTGTTTGAGACAGGTCGTCCGGAGACAACTCCTCAGATAAAAAATGTGTCGACGACCTCTCGAACGAAACACCTAAGCGTATACGAAAACGCGCCGTGACACATATAAAAAACTGGTGTGTTGAGGATCTGGGTCGAAGCGCGCACTACTATGTATGGAAAAAACGCGCCGTAACACACTTCGTCCAACATCGAATTGCTCGAGGATGTCTCGAGCGACCCGTTGGTTTTGACAGGCGGGACAATACTTTTCGCGGACCTCGCAACCTGCAAATCCACCTTCCGTGGCCGCCGGAATGCCCCAAATGCCAATCTACGATGGCTCGAGACTGGCTTCCACACGGCGGCACCCAAGAAAATTTCAAGACGACCCAAGACACCACGGGAGGGCCCCAAAAGGACCCAAAAGAGGACCCCCAACGGGACTGCGAGAGGCAACGACAACTGCATGTTCACTGCAATGTTGAATAATTTTCGCGTTCTCGCCTTCCATGGCTTCCAGCACTACACAACGGCTCGAGAGGCCCACTGCGCTGGCCCAGGTCGGCCCAAGAGGCTCCGAAGAGCATGCCCTAGGACGGCCAGGATGCCAGGATGCCAGGATGCCCTAGGACGGCCCAAGAAACCCACCAAGACAACAACGAAAACTCGTGTACAACTTTTTCTGGTCCACGAACGAACCTCAATGGCGCCTGCGTCGTCGCAGCTGGAACGGATGCGGACGTAGTGAGGCTGCGGTTCAGCACGCTGGAAGACCCGGCCGAATCCACTCAAGAACGCAGTGTAACTGTCACGAACTCTGATCTCTGCGGGGACGCCCGGCGACGCAACCATAAAGACTACCTGTTGTAAGTCTTACGGAGGAGCACGAGAGGCATGAAGTTGAACCGCGGGGGTCTTCGGAAGCCTGGCAACAAAAAATTGACGACACCTAAACTTCCTTTCAGCACGTGGGTGAGGATGTACAACGCTAAGCCAATACGTTTGCGCTCGACGCGTGAAAAAACACCGCGGGAACTTGGACGGACACCGAGGACACCCCAGGGAACCGCTCTGGAAACCTCTAGCTCTTGAGGAAGTCCGAAACGAAAGCTGGATCGTTGGCCGTACCCCAGGAGTCTTGTCGCACGATTCCATTTGACAGGTAGGGAGCCCACCGCTCTCTCAGAAGCCTGCGGCTCCCACCCGCCAGGCCCACGCGAGGGCATAAAACTTGAAACGAGAAGGCCTGCTCGGTGCCAACCGTCACCGCCGTACGGCTAAACACGCAACATCTGTTCATGACAGAGCGTGCAGTACACTCTGGAAAGGTCACAACAGAAAATCAGGATAATTGAAGAATCTCCCGATGGCGCCGAGAGGCTGCCCCGCCAAGCCCCCAGTGGACCCCCCAGAAGCCTCGCAACAAGCGCGGATAAGGAGGAGGCGAAGGACGACGAGGACGAATCGGCAGCATCTGCACGAAGGCAGCATGACGGGGAGCGGCAAACGACGGATACGACGCGCCTCTCCTCTTATATTGGGGTTGGCGAACTGGCGCAGGCCTGCTGAATCGGTCCGCCTCGGCCTGCAACGCCGAGCGGAGGAAGCCGTACGACAGGCCGAGGTCCTTCAGGATGACGTCATCGGTGACCTGCCTTTTGTGGTCCTCCGCGTCCCTGCCCTTGGGACCGATGACCTCCATTGTGTGTGTCTGGGGGGGCAGCTCTTTAGAGACCCCCCGCGTCAACGACGATCGGCGCCGACACTCGGCGCCGACACTCGGCATCGACACTCGGCAACGACACTCGGCACCGACAATCGGCGCCGACACTCGGCACCCACACTCGGCACTCACACCCGCCAGGGTGCAATCTCCCTGAGGGGGGGTCCTAAAGAGAGAGGCGATCTCTGCCACTCCCGCACGCAAGACCTCCATCACGGTGCGACTGTATGCACTCGTGCCGGTGCTGGCAAAGGACGGGTGGACGAATCTGGCGTACTGCGAGGCAGCGCCCCTCGCGGCCACGTCCAGGTGCATCTCCTCCAGCTTCGCGCTGACCGCGTCCTGGTCCAGCTCGGGGCAGCTCGCGTGCTCGGCCGTGTCCTCGTAGAAGAGGCGCGGCGCCGAGTCGCTCACGGCCCAGGTGAGGGGCTGCTTCAGAACCAGGGCCTCGAGGCGGCACATCTCCTGCAGACGTGGGGGCGTGAACACGTTATCGGATCCTCCCTCGTCGCTCTTGTATATGAATGCGAGCGTCCACCACTGCCCGTCCCACTTGTACTGCACCAGGCCTCCGTCTTCTTTGTCATCAGGAGGACCGTCGGTGGTGACGTTCTGCAGCCGTCTGGATGCGGGTGTGCTATGCCACTTGAAATCCACCGGCTCACCAAGAGCTTGCCACTTTGCGTGTGTCCAGGCCTTGTAGGTCAGGGTGCTTTCGGCGTTGGTCACGAGCCAAACCTCCTCCTCTTCGGTAATGTCCATCGCACCTGTAGTAATGGACACGACAGAAAGGACGAGCATGAAGACGGCGAACATGTAGAAGAACATGTGTGGAAATCTTACTACACTTCGCGCGTATAGCTTCACACAACGCCCACCGAAACCTCCTGGAAGCTGCGCTTCACCATTTTGTCCGTCCATGAAACACGGCGGTTCCGACCACGGTCTGAAGGATACGGCACTCTGAAGAGACTCAAACGAAGTCGGCTTGAGCCAAAATTCATATTCTCGAATACGGGGCACTTCGTGGGAATGCCCTAGTTGATACTGAACCCTTCACCAGTGCTAGATAATAACAACTGACCCCCTATGGGTGTTGACTGGAGAGAGCGCGAGCGAGATGGATCCGCAACCATCGCGCGCGCTCCGCACGTGCTTCAGTCGGCGATTGGCTCTCATAGGGCCATTCATTCGTGATCTTTGCTACGCAACGCCATGCTTCTTGCATACAGATGCCCTGAACTTGTGCTAATTATCAGGTTGGCATTTCCCGTGCGGCCCCCCGCATTCTCCTGCAATGTTGTGTTCTTCATGCCTCCTTCTCACCGTCCTTTTCCTGTCTATCTTTGGGCTGTTGGGACCTCTCTAAAAGCTTCCTGCAGGAGCGCATTTCTTCATTCGCGATGGTAACGGGCGTTATGGGGGTGCGGAGGGGGGGGGGTCGTAACGTAACGCCCCCCACCCCCGCCGTGCGGTTCCAGCGCCACCAAGGAGTCCGCGCGCACGACGACGACGAGCGACAAGCGACAAGCGACGAGCGACGACGACGACGACGACGACGACGACGACGACGACGGCGACGACGACGACGAGCGACCACGACAAAAGACGACGACGAGGGACCACGACGACAACGATGACGATGGCGGCGACGACGACGACTACGACGACGACGAGCGACGAGCGACGACGACGACGACGACGACGACAACGACGACGACGGCGACGACGACGAGCGACCACGACGACGACGACGACGATAACGACGACGACGACGACGACGGCGACAACGACAACGACGACGACGACGACGGCGGCGACGATGCGCGACACCTCCCGAAGTCTACGGAGGTTTCCCGAGGCCTCCGGAGGCCTCCTGAGGCCTCCCGAGGCCTTCCAGAGGTCATCCGAAGGCCTCCAGAGGCCCTCGAAAACATTCGAAGGCGTTCGACAACGACGAGCGACCGCGAGGGATGACGACCGACGACAAAAACGATGACGACGAAGATGACGACGACGACGCGACGACGATGACGCCGACGCCGACGACGAAGCCGACCGACAACGAAGAGCGCCGACGACAACGACGACGACGACGACGACGACGACGACGACGACGGCGACGACGACGGACGACAACGGACGACGACGGACGACGACGACGACGACGAGGGACGACGATGACGACGACGAAGACGACGACTACGGCGACGACGACGACGACGACGACGAAGAGCGACGAGGATTGTTGCGAGCACATGCCTGCGAAGGCGTCGTTGCTTTCACGTGGCGTATAAGAGGTATGCTCCTTACCTCCTTTCTCCGTCAACGTCGTCGTCATCGTCGTGGTCCTCGTTGTCGTCGTTGACGTCGTCGTATCTCTATGCGGATCCCTTTGGGACCCCTCTTGGGATTTCTATGCGCATCCCTATGCGGATGCCTCTGCGGATACCAATTCGGATCCCTACGCGGACCCCTTATGCGGATACCTATGCGAATTGCCATGCGGATCCCTTTGCGGATCCCAATGCAGATCCCTATGCGGATGCCTCTGGAGATCTCTATGCGGATCCCCACGCGGATCCCTATGTGGATCCCTATGCAGATCCCTATGCGGATCTATACAAGGATCCCTGGGAGTTCCAATGCGGATCCTTATGCGTATCCCGATGGATATCTCTATGCGATCCCCGTGCGTATCCCTATGCGGATTTCTTTGCGGATGCCTAAACGGATCCCTACTCGGGTTCCTATGCGGATCCCTGTGCGCACGGTGGCCGTGCCAGGGGCGCACTGGGGGCCAGAGCGTGACACTACGGGGGGGGCCATAACGCGCGCTGTGGCCCAAGCAATAAAGAAACTCGCTCCAGGACAATGGCCTTTCGGATCATTCACCCCGACACGACTCGTGCGCCGAAGCTCTTGAGGCGCCGGGCTCCTGAAACTCTTGGGAGGCCACGGGTGACTGATGGGAGGCCTTCGTGATACTATCGGACCCGAAGACAGACAAGCGCCATCCACTACTCGCAACGTAACTACTCGCAAATGGCCGGGATCCGCCGCGAGGGATTTACTATACATTACGCCGAGGCAACCAACTAATTTTCGGGCCTTTGCGAGTAGGCACTTGGGAAAAAGTGGAGCTCGCTCGGTGAAAAGGAAGGGCCATTCAACAAAATGAGGCCGGCTTGAGCCCAGGATCAGGCCCGATTCGGCCAGATTGAGCGGGAGGAGCCAGGAGGATGCCACATTAGGCGGGTTTGCGGCCACGGAGACACCAAAGCCGATGCTGAGTTGGACCTCCCATTCTTTGACGCACGAGGACATACTGGTACGATGTGTCCCCCTTGGAGGCGCGCACCCGACCCGGACATCTCTGGTATGACCATCTTGTAGTTTGTAGCTTCCCGCGCGGTGCGGCCATAAAGCGCCCGCCGCGGAGCATACACTGTAAGATTTCGCGGCGCGCGCGCCGCCCCCCCTGTGGGGGCGACGAGCACATAGTATAGCATAGCGTGTCGGGGTGTGGCCGGCAGTGGTCGCATCCCAAGCGCTCGGAGACCTGGGGGAGGCTCGCGAGACGACCGCGCCGCGCGGATGCAGCGGTGCGCGGGCAAGCAAGAACCGAGAGCTCTGCGACGGCCCACCTCGAGTCTCGAACCCACAGTCCAGCCCGCAGCGCGAGGTCCATGCAGAAGGCTGGGCCGAGGGCACACGACGAGGACGGCCACGGCCACGGCGATCGCGCAAAAGAGCTCTCGGGTGGCGTCATTTTGACTCCTCTCGGGGCATTCCTTGACCGCCTTGGGAACCTGTCGAGGTCCCGAGGGGGGTTTTGGGGCGGGCGCAGGAGGATTCGAGAAGCTTCAAACATGTCCCGTAGAGGATTGGAGAGGAGTCACAACCATGTCACGCGAGAAGGCTCTCGCCTTCACATCACTTTGACTCCTCTGGGAGCCCTGCTGGAGCAGTCCCCCGAGCGTCTTCGGGCATCAAGAAGGCCCAGGAAGACCCGGAGAGAGTCCCAAGAGTCCCGATGCGAGTTACAGTCATGCCACGCAAGATGGCTCTCGGTTGACTTTGTCTTGACTCCTCTCGGGATCCTCGTGGAGCTTCTTCGGAGCTTCCCGAGGTCCCAAGAAGGTCGGGGGGGGGGGAAGGCACGGGCCGACTGCCCAAGACGCCCCCAGGAGAGTCCCAAACAGCGCCCCGAAAGGAGCCCAGGCCACGTCCGCGCAGGAAGGCTCTCGCGCGACATCGCCTCAACTCCTCTCGGGGCCCTCCTGGGGCCGTCTCCAAGACTGACTCCCACAGCCCAGCCCTCGACCGCCGCCAGAGTGCCAAGAAGATGGTCACTTCGAAGAATACGCTGGCCCCAGCACGGGGTTAGGTGTCTACGCGGCTACAGATGGTGCCTGCTCGCACCAGCCGCACTCGCCCCTCGCCAATGGAATGCTCGGAGTATACTATGGGCCAGACCATCAGCTAAATCACTCCGCCCGCGTGCATGGCTTAGCGCAGTCAGCGCGACGCGCCGAAATACTTGCGCTGCTTCACCCCACCGCCACGGCAGAGAGACCCGTTCGCATCTGTGTGGAGTACACAGCGGTGGTTGACAGATGCGAAGCCCGCCTGGAAGGAAGCCCACCACAGACCAAAGGCTCACAAGCTGACCTCTGGCAAAGAATGCGCCGGGTGGTCCAGGCCAAACTGGGCATGTTCAAGGCCCCAAAAGATGAAAGCCACCTCGGTGAGCAAGGGGTTATCGACGGCCGCATCTCGCCTATCGCCGAGTCATTCAACCGGCGCGCTGACGAGCTAGCAGCCCTTGGATCCCGTCCGCACCCCCTGCTTCAGGACATCACCGACGCGGCCATGTGGCGACATACATTCGCGGCTGCCCTCCACAATACCGCGGACGCTATACACGACCGTCGCCACCACACTGCCGCTAACCTGGCAGACGAGGTAGCTACTCCAGGTCGGAACCCCGCCAAAGGAGACCCAAACCTCTCACCAGAGGGGGCGGCGAGGATGTGCCGCCAAGCCCACCCTGGGACCCTCTTCACTTGCAAGGCCCACCGGGGCCAGAGTTCTATGACGACCTGGACGGCCCGTGGGGTATCCCCCCCGGCTTCTTGGAAGGATCGAAAAAAAAACCGCTCGTTCTCGGCGGGGCCTTCGACAACGACGATGGCGGCACTGACACGCCAGCGTCAGGGCCACACGCCAGATCCGACTGACAACCCCGCCCCACCAGGACGCCACCACAGAGATGGTCACGACGCGGACGACGAAAGCACGCTCCTCCGCCGCAGAAGTCACAAGGCGACGGCGCCTCAGGAGGTAAAGGCTCATCAGGACCACACCTCGGGCGCTCACGGCCCGGGAGAGGACCCGCGCATGGTAGGCGAGGGACTGCGCCCCCGTGTGGGCCAACATCGTCGCCCCAACCCACTGGGCTGGCCAGTGCAGGAGCACGCCCAGTCCCCCAGCGCAGCACATCCTGCCACCAGGCTTGGACCCCGCCCCACCAGGGAACGGGAACCAAGGGCCCCAGCACCACCCACCAGGGCGCAGGTGCCCGAGCGCCACCAGCGCAACCGACCGATCGGAGACGTGACCTCACGCAGCGCATGACCGCCACCGGGCAACAGCCTGCCAAGGGACGCGAAACTGCTCTAGCCACCAGCATCACGGCGATGCCTCAGCGCGCCTTCAGCCTCGCACTTCACGCTGCATAGCGTCCAAGGGCAGTCAAGACCCCTTACTGCCAGGTTCCAGAAAGCGCAGTCCGCCTGGAACCGGCTCTCCGCACGCCTGTCTCTCCTCGGGACACTCTCCAGGAAAATCTCCAGGCGCGCCCTGCTGCTCACTGCTAGCGCACCGGCGCTAGCCGCTCCTTTTTTTCCGTGCGCTGCGAGAACATGTGGCAACTCGTTCCGCAAACCTGGCACCAGGCCGCCGAGCGGGATGCCCCAAACGCGGCGCCCCCTTCCCCGTGGCATCGGGGTGCGCATGCCCAAGCGCGCTAAAAACCAGCGCCTCCGTGCAGCACGGGCAAGCGCAGAGGAGGCGCGCCACGCCCTCTTTGCCACGCTCCCCTCGGTACCTGTTAACCGATTCCCATCCCCAGCGGCGTAGCTCGGGCCCCACTGGCCGATTTACTCCCCTAGATGGGGATGCAGTTCGTTCCATTCGGGATTCTCGAAAGGGATGGGCATGGGGATGGGGATGGGGATTGGTTAAGCGATACCGGTCTCCATGTTTCTGTCCAGCCGGGATTCCCTTTGACCGCGCCAGGGGGAAGGCTTTTACTACCGCCCCTGCCACTCACGTGCGGCACCTCCCGCCGGCGAGGGGGGCACAGCGGGTGCGAGCAGCCCGCGCGCCGGGACGCACCCCCTGCCCTCGAAGTACACGATTCCGGAGTGCCCCGCGTCAGATTCGCGAAGCGCCGCTCCGGTATCATCAGACTGAAGGCATGCGCGCCGATGGCCGTAATGCATCGCGTGCGATTCGCGGAGCGCCCCGCGCCGGATAGGCGGAGCGCCGCTCCGCCAGTGTGCCTCCAAGCGTGCGCGCCGAGCCGGCGCGCCGCGTCGGATTCGCGGAACGCCGCTCCGTGACTTGGCCTCGAAGTATGCGCGCCGATACGGATTGCGTCGCACCTGCCTCCAAGAGTCCCTCGAGAGGCTCCCCACGGTATCCCGACGACCATCCACGAGGCCTCGTCCCCACCAAGAGGCCCCACAAAGGACCCCAAGAGGCCCCAAAAAGAGGGCCCAAGAGGCCCTAAAAAACTTCCCCGACGGGGCGTCTAAACTACCCCCAAGAGGCCCCCGAGAAGGCCTCCCACGAGATCCCAACGAACATCCACTAGGCTACAGACCCACAACCCAGGCACGGTGGTGGGATATGGGCCGAAGGCCGTTAGATATGATATATACATAAAGATCTATGTGTATACATACATATATGTATATATATATATATAGAGAAAGAGAGAGAGAGAGAGAGAGAGAGATGCATCCCCGCACCTCTCCCCCCACCGACTGCCCTCCTCCTCCCTCCCGCATCTCCCCCGGCCTTTGTGCACGTCATCTCCCTACTCTCCTGTCCCTCCTGCGTCACCGCATCTCCCTCCTGTGGGGGAAATGCATCGTTCGTCCCTGTCTGCTACACTCTCCCTCGACCTCCCCCATCCCATTTGCCGCCTGCTGTCACTTCAGCCTACTCTTGCCCGGCACCCCCTCCTACCCTTCTCCCCACCCCCTTCCACCTCCTTCTCCTGTTCCCCCTGCTGTTGCTCTTCCTCCTCCTTCTTCTCATCCTCCCCCTCCTCCTCATGCTCCTGCTGAAGTCCTCCCTCCACAATTAAATAATAGGATACAACTTGTCCTCCTCCCTTGAAGTTGTCCGGAAAATCTCCCGCCCCATACGCGTTCTGTTTTCTACACACAGGATTTGAACATATTTTCTCATGTGTAGTTCAATCCGATTTTTCGGTGTCAAAATGGTTTTCCCACTGTAGCGTGGGCCTCATTTTCAGAACGGCGCTTATCCCGTCTTTCAGAATGACGATCTCGCCCCAACGCGGGCCACTTTTCTGGATCCGAATCGTGCTTCATTCTGGTCCCCCCTCGTTTTCCCTCCTCCGCCTTCCCCTGGACATCCTGTTCCTCCCGCTCCTTCCACTTCAAATCCTGCTGCAGCTGTTCGTCTCGCACCAGCGCGGGCCACTTTTCTGGATCCGAGTCTTTCTTCATCGGTGTCGCCCCCCTCAATTCCCCCCCTCCGCCTTCCCCTCTTCCTCCGTTTCCTCCGTACCCTTCCGCTTTAGTTCCTGATGCTGCTGCTTCTGTTCGTCCTCATCCATTTCCTCCTGCTCATCCTCCTGCTTATCCACCACCTCCTCGCCCTGTGCACTTTCCGATTGCGCATAACAGGAAGTGGTCTCTCCTTGGAAGTCGCAGGTCGGCTATGACACGCGCCCGCGAAACATGAAAAATCAACGCCATGGGGAAGATTGGAAAAGGGACAGGATGTGAGATGAGGCACGAGCGCACCTACCTTGTACCCCTCCCTTCTTACCCCCCCATCTGCCCCTCCCTCCGCCCTTATGCTACCCATCCCACCTCCTTTCCGCCCTTCCCTCCTGCCTCCTCCCGCTCCATGCCTCCTCCTCCTCCTCCTCCTCCTCCTCCTCACTCCTCTGCCTGTCTGTGTGTGGCTTGCGCGCGCCCCACCTCAATTCAGCTTGTTCCGTTTACTAGACACGCATTGCCGTGCCAGAGGATACAGTGTGGGCGCAAGTGTGTGTGCGTGCGTGCGTGCGTGCGTGCGTGTGCGTGTGTGTGTGTGTGTGTGTGTGTGTGCCACTCCGACTCGTCGCTGAGAGCGGCGAAGTGTGTCAATGTGTGTATGCGCTTGCTTGTGTGGGGTAAGAAACAGGGTGTGTGCGCGCACGTGTGTGTGTGTGTGTGTCCGTGTGCCCGGCTCCCTGACTACTCACTACCGCGTCGCTTCGCAAGCCTTGCGCCGGATGGACACATGTGTATGCATATACATATATATACAGAAAACATGACGTATACGTAAGTGTCTGTGTGATTCGTGTGTTCGCGTGCCTTTGGTCTGTTGTGCTTGTGTGCGCGCGTGCGTGGTTGGCAGGGGCCGGTGGGCAAACGCGCTTTCGCCCCCCCTCGCGGCCTCTGCGTCGGCCGTGCAGGTCGTACCACCCGGTGCCCTCCAAGTTGGGGGAGGGCAACCACGACGCACCTGGCGACGCAGCCTCCTCCTCCTCCTCCTCCTCCTCCTCCTCCTCCTCCTCTCCTCCTCCTCCTCCTCCTCCTCCTCCTCCTCCTCCTCTCCTCCTCCTCCTCCTCCTCCTCCTCCTCCTCCTCCTCCTCCTCCGCCTCCGCCTCCGCCTCCGCCTCCTCCTCCTCCTCCTCCTCCTCCTTCTCCTCCTCCTCCTTCTCCTGCTTCTCCTCCTCCTCCTCCTCCTCCTCCTCCTCTCCTCCTCCTCCTCCTCCCCTTTTTCCTCCTCCGCCTCCACCTCCGCCTCCTCCTCCGCCTCCTCCTCCTCCTTCTCCTCCTCCTCCTCCTTTCCTCCTCCTCCTCCTCCTCCTCTCCTCCTCCTCCTCCTTCTCCTCCTCCTCCTCCTTCTCCTCCTCCTCCACATGGAAACGCTCAAATCGCAGGCGAGAAACGGGAGGAGGATGGGAGCAGGAGGAGGGGCGAGAAAGAGCGAGAGGGGGAATCGCGAGAAGGGGGGGGGACAAGGAATGCGAAAAGGGTTCTAACAGGAGGAGGAAGAGGAGAAGGGAAGAGAGAGGGAGAAAAAGGAACAGGGAGGGAAGAGAAGGGAAAAGGGGAGGGGGAGTGAGAGAAGGCTCGGAGAGGGGGGGGGAGAAAGGAGAGTGCGAGCAGGGGAAGGGCAAGGGCAAGCTAGGTGCGCGAGTGCCATATCTGACATTAACCTCCTAAAAGTCCCTTCTCGTTGCAGCGATTGTGTTTCTGTCCGCCGACGGGTTTCAAAGCAGATCTGGAACCCCCAGAATAACTCCATCGCGTTGTACACAAGCAGTAAGCAAGCTGTGTATATTGGAGGAGGAGGAGGAGGAGGTGGAGGAGGAGGCAGATGATGGGGAGGAAGAGCAGGATAATGAGCAGGAGGATAAGGGAGGAGAGGAGGAGGGAAAAGATGAGGAGGAACAAGATAAGAGAAATCGGGGGGCGACAACGACGTGCCAAGACCGCGACCCAGAAGCGAGGCTCGCGCTTGGGCGAAGAGATCCTCGTCCTCAAAGACGGGCGCAAGACGCCGATCCTGACGTCAAGCCAACACTGCAGAGGGAACACCATCTGGGAAAGACTGAGAACGCTCGGCCCGGGAAACACGCCACATCTGTATCCGTAACACCCCGCAAAGGCGGATACGAGTGAGGGAGCGGTGGGGACGCCGGCAGTCTGCGAGACTCTGGAGAAGCCCGCCGCAGGCGCCACCAAAATTTCAAAAATTGCACAACGAGCCCGCCGCAAGCGCTGACTTTTTCTTCAAACCAATGTGGATCGGTCGCGGGTGGGTCGCGGGGTGGGTCGCGGGTGGGTCGCGGGTGGGTCGCGGGTGGGTCGCTGAGGGGTCGCGGGTTGGGTCGCGGGTTGGGTCGCGGGTGGGTCGCGGAGGGGTCGCGGGTGGGTCACGGGTTGGGTCGCGGGTTGGGTCGCGGGTGGGTCGCGGGGTGGGTCGCGGGTGAGTCGCGAGTTGGGTTGAGGGGTGGGTCGCGGGGTGGGTCGCGGGGTGGGTCGCGGGTTGGGTCGCGAGTTGAGTTGAGGGGTGGGTCGCGGGGTGGGTCGCGGGGTGGGTCGCGGGGTGGGTCGCGGGTGGGTCACGGGGGGGGGGGTCGACGACAACACACAATAACAAACAACAACAACAACAACAACAACAACAACAACAACAACAACAACAACAACAACAACAACAACAACAATTACTAGCACGTGGGGACACACCGTTCTCACCAGTGCCAGGGTTTTCATAGGAGGCGGGCAATACCCCCACTTTGTGGGGGGGCCGGTTCAAGCTCTACCAAATTTCCAAACGACTCTTCGCCACCACCCACACCCAGCTTCCCGCCCTATGACGTTCGGACACTTCACTTCGTGGCATGCGGACGACCGTGGCTACTATTCAGGGCCCCGCGGCCGACGACGACGGCGTGCGCGCGCGAAGAAAAAACGAATGTGTCCCGCATGGTATTATTTGACAGGGATGATGGCCCTGGCAGGTGCGCAACCGTTGTTGCAGAAGTTCGAAAAAGTTGCTCGCAAAAGCCCGTTTGACAGAAATGTTTAAAAAGTGTTGGGTTTCCTACGAATCCGCAAGAGCGCGCGGGATGAAATTTTGACATTTTTTTTTGAAAAACCATTGGTTTTTTGATGTTTTTATGTTAAAATCGCTAACGAAAACTAAGGTTTTGGAAGGATTTCGTCTTGCGCGCGCGAATGTCCACTTTACCTTATTTTTTGCAAGGGATTCTTGAAGTTTGGTTATGTTAGAACAAGAAATGTCCACTTTAGCTTATTTTTTGCAAGGGAAAACCGATCGTAACAACACAACCGGATCCGGACTCCCCCGTTTTGCCTGAGACTTCCTCACGAAAATGATGAAAATGAGGCTGCGGCCTAGGCGCGGCGGGGGGGTCGTGCACCAGGGGTCCCAACAATAATTATTCTTTAGAAGTAATAATGTTCAACAACAACACCAACAACAACAACAACAACAGCAACCACAACAGCAACAGCAACAACAACAGCAACACAACAACAGCCACAACACCATCATCAACAACAGCAACAACACCAACAACAAAACCAACTCCACAACCAACAACGACAGCAACAACACCAACAACACCAACAGCACCGACACCAACCACAGCATCAACAACACCAGCAACGCAACACACATACTCCACACCACGGATTCTCACTTCAGCCACGCACCCAGGGACAATACATGACCGTTCGGCCAACATGTTCTGATGTAGCTGCGCACATACATATAGATATAAACATACGTACGTACGTACGTAAATGCATACATACATACATACATACATACATACATTCATACCTACATCCATGCATACACACATACGTACATGCATGCATACATGCATGCATACATACATGCATGCATGCATACATACGTGCATGCATATATGCATATATACACACATCCATACATACATACATACATACGTACGTACATACATGCATACATACATACATACCTACAAACATACATACATACATACATATACATGCATGCATACATACCTACATCCATACATATGTACGTACACGCATACACACAGACATACATGCATGCCATGCACACATTCATACATACATACGCACAATTATGCATACACCCGCACACAAATGCATGCATGTGCGTATATAGCCATACGTACATAATTATATACATATATACCTACATACATACACACATACGCACATACAGGCATACATACATACATACTTATGTACATACATTTACATACACACATACACACATGCATGCATACATCACGTACATGCACACGTACATACAATCATTCATACATGTATACATGCATACATACATACATACATTCATACACGCATACACACATACACACATGCATAAGTGCATACAGAAATGCACACATACACATACACATACACATACACATACACATACACACATACACATACACGTACACATACACATATACATACACATACACATACATATACACATACACATACACATACACATACACATGCACATGCACATGCACATACACATGCATGCATGCATGCATGCCTGCACATATACATACATACACACACACACCTCAACCTGTACGGGCTTGTGCCGATCCTACGTGTAGCGCACGTATGCGCGGAGAGGGCGTACGGCTCTCGGGACGGCCTCGAAAGAGAGAGAAGAATAGGAATCCGAGTGCGCAAGTGCGGAGGGACTTGGGGAGGATGGGCGGGCGGCAGGAGGGACAGAAGGAGGAGGGAAGGAGAGGAGAGTGGATGGGTGACGGGAAAAGGGCTCCTCCTCCTCCTCCTCCTGCTCCTGCTCCTCCTCCCCTCCCGGCCGCAGCACCAGAGGCCGTCCGCGTGGGTGGGCGGCCCCCTCAAAGACCCCTCACCGCTTGTGACGTCGAAGCTCGGGGCGTCCAGCGCCACTTTTTGCGCCGGCGGCTGGGCAGGGTAGCTGCGCGGGCGGAGGGCTACACCGTTGCAGCGAATTGTGCCACCGTGCAGGAGGGGGGGAGAAAGCAGAGGAAGCGGCCGGCGTCCAGCAACACACGAGACGAAGGGCGGCTCGCTTCCAAAGTGGGCCTCTCGCCTGGGCGCCGCGCAGCCCCCCGCCTTCAGCACCATCCCCCAACAATTGCAGCGGGATGGAGGGGAGGAGGGGGGGGAGGAGGGGGGGAAGGAGGAGGGGAAGAGGAGAGGAGGAGGAGGAGGAGGAGGAGGAGGAGGAGGGGGAGGAGGAGGAGTGGGAGGAGAGGAGGAGGAGAGGAGGAGGAAGAGGAAAAAGGGGAGAGGAGGAGGAGGTAGGAGGAGGAGGAGGAGGAGGAGGAGGAGGAGAGAGGAGGAGGAGGAGGAGGAGGAGGAGGAGGAGGAGGAGGAGGAGGAGCAGCAGGAGCAGGAGCAGGAGGAGGAGGAGGAGGAGGAGGAGGAAGAGAGGGAGGATGAGGAGGAGGAGGAGGAGGAGGAGGAGGAGGAGGAGGAGGAGAAGGAGGAGGAGGAGGAGGAGCAGCAGGAGCAGGAGGAGGAGGAGGAGGAGGAGGGCAACATCGCTCTCAGAGCGGGGTTCCCGCCGTGGCGCCTCGCGCACGCTCATCTTCAGCACGCGTCGAGAAAGGCTCCGCGGGTGGAGGGCGGCTCCTCCTCGAAATAGGGCGCCCGCTCACTTGCAACAGCTGCGACCACAAATGCACAAGTGCATCAGAGGAAGAACACGCGGCATACACAGCAAGCATTAGACGAAGAACAACAACGGCACAAGCATCGCTCCGCGCGGATTTCTTGGATCTGCGATGGGCCCCCTCCCTGGTGCGCAGAGCGCGCCAGGGGCGGCACCGAAGGACAGGGGGTCCCAGCGCGGATCCAAGAAATCCGCGCGGAGCGCGAAAAGTTTATATGTTTTCTGGCGTTCCTCTTCTTCGATGCATGCTCGGTGCACGGACGGAAGGCGGCTCCTTTTTCAAAGCGGGGCGCTCCCTTGAGACGTCGCTAACATGTGCACGTATCGACAACGGTTCTGTTCTGAAGCGGGGCTGCAATTGGGCACTTTCTGTGAACCGTCATACACCACCTCCTCGCATCACATGCGGTTGAGAAAATGTGCTTAGCGTGTCGCGACGGCGACCCTGGCGACATGCTGTGCCTTGCAAGCGGCTGGCCTGTCGCTCAGCTCCGCGTGGCGGGAGGCGGGGGAAAGCTCGGGACATTGACTCTCTGGAACTTGGACGTGGCTAGCGTGTTGCGCCGAAGCGTGGTGGGCCACAACCAGCCGTGCGACGCCAGGGGCCCCAAGAAGCCTCTTGGAGGCCTCATGAGGTCTTAAGGTGACCATACGCCTCGAATGATTGTGGGCGCTTTCTTTCAAATCGGAGCTGCCGCCCGAATGGCGGGCCAGCGGAACGCTCGCCTGTCAAGGAGGGCGCTTCGCGGAGTGAAAGAAGGATGCTTGCAGGGACCAGGGCGGAGGGGACTTGGGACGGGAGGCTGTGTTGTAGCACGGTTGAGCATCGTTGATGCATCTTGGGCTTGCCCTGGTGCTCCTTCCCCTCCTTTCCCTCCTACTCCCCCTTCGCTGTTCCTGACGCTACTGCTGCCGCTCTTCCTCCTCCTTCTCTTCTTTCTGCCCCTTCCTGTGGGCGCCGGCGTTGCCGCTCTGGCCCACGCGTCCTCCTTCTCCTCCTCCTCCTCCTCCTCCTCCTCCTCCTCCTCCTCCTCCTCCTCCTCCTCCTCCTCCTCCTCCTCCTCCCCCCTCTCCACCATTCCTATTCCGTATAAACAAATCCTCCCTCTCGCATCCCGAAGCCAGTCGAAAAGGCGGGCCGGGCGTTTCGCCTGAGACTTCCTCACCGTTAATGATCCTAAATATTAGTACTTGCAGCAATTTCACGGATGGGTGGCGGGCCGCTTTCGAAATGTGGCTCTCGCCCTAGTTCTGCGCAAAGTCGTCTTCAACACTGTAACAATTACACGGATGTGCAGCGGGTCTTTTTCAAATTGTGGCTTTCGCTTCAGCGCCGTGCACATTCGTCTGACACGTTATCAACTTTGCACTGGTGGAGGGCAAGTGGTTTCCCAAATGTTGCTCTTGCGCTAGCGCCGCGCACACTCGTTTCAAGAGTTGTTAACAGCTTCATGGACTCTCATAATTAACGTACCCGCAATGGAACGATGCCAGACTGTCAGGGCGCGAATGTTACGTTGACTCGCGGCGCTGTTGTTCCAAGAGTACGTTTCTGGCACGATTCAGGATCGTCAAGTCGTCAAGACGCAACAAGGAAGGTGATTCGCGGCGTTGAAGTCCCAGGAAACATGTTCTGGCACAGTTCAGGATTGTCTAACAGCTGTTTCCCAACGGGGCACCTCCATCAGTAAAACTGACTCCTTGTAGGGGCCTGTGAAGATGACACTTAGACGAAGGGTTTAAGGGTTTATTACAATATCGTTGGTGAGGCTTGGGTTTGTACTGGTCCTCCTCCTCCTCCTCCTCTTCCTCCTCATCCTCTTGCTCCTCGTCCAACTTGTACGACGACGACGATGACGAGAGATGATGAGGGAGAAAAAGGAGGGATGATGTGGGGGGGAGCAGGCGGAGTGGGAGGACAAGGAGGATGGAAGGTAAGAGCAGTGTGGGCGAACAAGGATGACGAGGGAAGAGGATGATGAGGGAGGGAGGCCGACGACGACGAGGGAAGACGAGCGGGGAGAAAGAGGCCCAGACATGCGACGTCTTACAGCCTACCCGTACAGGAAGGACACACGACAAGAATGCAGGGCCTTGGAAGGTCATGACGGCACTTTGCGGGCAGGGCGCGGCCAGCGAAAGCGGCCAATGATGGGCCGAATGGGGACGGATGCAGGGGTAACCCTGGGAAGTCGCTCGTCCTCACTCATGCGGGCTGACTGTGCGGGGCCCCCAGAAAATCTGGATCGCGCGCGCGCTGACCTGGATTGGGGATCCGTGGATTTCGGCGCGTGGGCGCCAGAACCTTCGTTTTTTTTGCAATCCTTCGTTTTTGTTTGCAATCCTTCGTTTTTTTGCAATCCTTCGTTTTTTTGCAATCCTTCGTTTTTTTTGCAATCCTTCGTGCAATCCTTCGTTTTTTTGCAATCCTTTTTTTTTTTTTGCAATCCTTCGGGGAACGTCCCCCCAATGCCGCCTCCTCCGGCGACGCGGCGCGCCGATCACGTACGGAAAAACGGGATCCGACGCTCATCCACGCGCCCTATCCCATGCCTCTGCTCCCCCGACTGGAACGACGAGAGGACGAAACGACGACGACCACCGACGACGACGACGACGAAAACGACGACGACGACGACCACCGACGACGACGACGACGACGACGACGACGACCACCACCACGGCGCGTGCCGCCGCGGCGGCCTGCGCGCTGGCCGGGCAGGTCGCGGTCGGACTGGAAGGTGCCTCCTCCGCGGGGGGGCGAGAGGGAGAGGAATGGAGAGGGGATGGACAGACCTCCCTTTAGTAAAACGTGGTTTAGTGAAAACGACTTCGGGCCCAAACCTGGCGGGCGCAAGCCTGGAAAATAACGGCCACGGCGCCCTCTCGAAAACCGAAAACGGACAATTCACTAATCGACGTGTCACTATTGGAGGTTCTGTCCACCCCCGAATGGAGAGGGGAGAGGAGGCGAGGGGGGCGGGGCAACGGGGGAGGGCAGGCGGGCGAGGGGGAGGGCGGGATGCGGAGACGGATGAGCCGGAAGGGGACTGGGGCTGGGGCCGGAGGGGGCGAGGGGGAGGGAGGAGACCAGAGAGTGGCAGGGAGGGAGGTGGGTGGAAGGGATGGGGGAAGGGGGGGGAGGGGGGAGGGATGGGAGGGGAGAGAGGGAGGGCGAGAGGGAGGGGGGGAAACAGGGCCACGGGCGGGGGCGAGCGCGGAGGAGGGGAGGGATGGGAGGGGGAGCGGGGGGGGGGAGGAAGGGCCGGACACGGCCGCCGGGCGAGGTGAACCGCTGCCCCCTCCCTCTCTCCCAATCCTATTGGCACTCCTGCTCTCACTCTGCCACCCTCTCTTCTCTACCTCTTTCTCATTATTTTTTTTTCTCTCTCTCTCTCTCTCTCTCTCTCCTCTCTCTCTCTCTCTCTTAGATTGCTCCCCCTCGCTCTCCCTCTCTCAGTCTGTTGCTCTCTCTCCCTCTTCCCCACCCCGCCAATGAGGCGCAGGTGGCGCGACCGTCCTTTGATCGACGGCCTCCGGGACGGGCTCCAGCTTGTGCGCCTGGGCGGGCTCCAGCTGCGCGCCTCAGGGGAATGGTCCGAGGCCCCTTCTGCTAGCCACCGCCATAATCGTAACGATCAGCGCTACCATCGCCATCGTCGTCCTCGTCATCATCATCATGATCATGATAATGGTCAGGATCAGGATCGTGAACATGATGATCCACCTCCTCCTCCTCCTCCTCCTCGTCATCATCATCCTCATCCACATCCTCATCGTCATTATCATGTACATGTTCATGGTCATGCTCATGATCATCATCATCATCATCATCATCATCATCATCATCATCATCATCATCACCATCATTACCATCATCATCACCATCATCACCACCACCACCATCATCATCCGCATCATCATCATCACCATCACCATCACCATCACCATCACCATCACCATCACCACCATCACCATCATCATCATCATCATCATCATCATCATCATCATCATCATCATCATCATCATCATCATCATCATCATCATCATCAGCATCAGCATCAGCATCATCATCAGCATCAGCATCAGCATCATCAGCCATCAGCATCAGCATCAGCATCAGCATCATCATCATCATCATCATCATCATCATCCTCATCATCATCCAACTGTCCTGCTTGATGCTCCCCCGTGTCACCCTGCTCCCCTCCCTGCTCATCCTGCTCCCCTCCGCTGCCCTCTGGACCCTGGGGCCGTGCGAGGAGGAGGAGGAGAAGAAGGAGGAGGAGAAGGACCTAAGGTGAGAGCCGGCGGTGGACGGGATCGAGGGCTCCAGCGGCCGAAAGCTCAGTCGCCAGAAGCATCTCCCCGTCCGTCGCCTTGCTCCTGCTGCGGCCGACACTGCTGCCGCTGGTGCCCTTCCTCCCTGTGCTCCTCCCCCCCCCTTCTCCGCACCCTCCCCATCCGCCGCCGCGCATCACGCGCCTCCTGCTCGGTCTCCGCCTGCTCCTGCTCCTCCCCCTCCTCCTCCTGCTCCTCCCCCTCCGCCTCCCCCTCCTCCTCCTCCTGCTCCTCCTGCTCCTCCTGCTCCTCCTCATCCTCCTCCTCTTCCTCGTCCTACTCCTCTTACTGAACAAACAGAAACTGACGCGACGCATCATTTAGTGTGAGTGTCTCTGTGTGTGCCCGTCCTCGAAGTCACCCCCATGCTCCCCCCTCCCTCCCTCCTCGACAACGACCTCGACGGCGACGGCGACAGCCACAGCGACGGCGACGGCGCTGTCGGCTACGACGCCGACGACCTCGTCGACGGCAGCGACCTAGGCCTAGACCTAGACCTCCACGACCTCGAAGACCTCACAGGAAGACCTCACCTGGATCACGACGACCTCGAAGGCCTTGCCGTCAGTGAGCCCACAGATTTCGGTGATATCCTTGCTCCCAACGACCTCGAAGCGATGATCTCTACGACATCGACGACCCTGAGATCCGAGAGAGCGTGATCCACCGCCGCTTTACTGTGGAAAATTGCCAACCTTTTCCTCCGGAGCCCGGGGGTCGCCCCCCCCCCCCCCCTCCGAAAATCCCCCCCCCCCCCCCTGCTGGCCCCTCCCCCCCCTCCCCCCCAAAACCCCCCCCTCCCCTAACCCCTCCCCCCCCCCCCCCTCGAAACCGGGGGGGTCACTACCGGTTCGAACCCCTCCCCCCCCCCCCCCCCCCCCTCCCCCCCCCTCCGGAAAACAACCGGGGGGGGTCACTACCGGTTCGAACCCCCCCCCTCCCCCCCCTCGAAAACCGGAGGGGGATCACTACCGGTTCGAACCCCTCCCCCCCCCTCACCGCCAGCAAACGACTCCCGGTCCCTACCACCGTCCGCATCACATCCCCCTGTTGTTCCCAGCACCACTGTCCTCACCACCACTGTCCCCACTGTGTCCCCACCAGTGCCCCCACCACTGTCGCACTGTCCCCACTGTCCCCACCACTGTTCCCACCACGGTTCCACTCTCCCCACTGTCTCCACGGCCCCAACCACTGCCCGACTATCCCCACTGTCCCCACTGTCCCACTGACTCCGCCGCTGTCCCACTGAGCTGTCCCACTGTTCCCACCACTGTCCCCACTGTCCCCACCACTGTCCCCACTGTACCTCTGTCCCATTGTCCCACCGCCGTCCTCGCCACCGCCTTCACCACTGTCCCCACCACCATTGTACCCTCCACTGTCCCACTGTTTCCACCTCATTCCCACTGTGCCCACACCACTGTCCCCACCACCACCGTCCCCACCACTGTCCACTGTCCCCCCTGTTCCCACCATTGTCCCCACCACTGTCCCCACCACTACCGGCCCTCTACTGTCCCACTGTCCCACTGTCCCCACCACTGTCCCGCTGTCCCCTCACCACTGTCCCCACCAACACCGTCCCCACCTCTGTCCGCACCCCCACTCGGTTTTCGAGGGGGGGGGGGGTTCGAACCGGTAGTGACCCCCCCCCCCTTTTCATGATGAGCTGGGGGGGGGGGGGAGGGGTTCGAACCGGTAGTGACCCCCCCCGGTTTTCCGGAAGGGGGGGGGGGGGAGGGGTTCGAACCGGTAGTGACCCCCCCCGGTTTTCCGCCAGCAGCGGTAGAACACGCTCTTTGTGAGATCCAGATCCGACAGCAAAACATTGCAATTTCGCGAAACACAAAACGTTCGACCAGAGCACTGGCCTCCATCTGTCTGCCGCACTTTTCGAGACGGATCGATCCATTTTGGCCCCGAGAACCCCAAAAGAGGCAAAACCGCCCGCTGCGAAACAATGTGACGCCTGAATTTCAGGGGACCTCGAAGACTTCGACTACGACTACGACGACGAAGACGACCTTGACGACGACGACGGCGACGACGACGACGACGACGACATCAACGACGACGGCGACGACATCGACGTCGATGCCCTCGAAGATCCCGACATCCGATGCTTTGTTTTTTCGCTCGCACAGGTCCCGACCACTTCCCTGGGGGAAGCTGTTCGCCACGGATTCGTTGTTGATGGTGCTGGGGCCAGAAAAAACCAAAGGCCGAAATCAGGTGAAAACTTCAGCCAAAAAAACATATCGTTTGAGATCTGCGGACCTCGACGACGGCGACGACGACAACGACGACAACGACGACGCGACACGACGACGACGAGGACGACGACCGCGACCCGACCCCTTCGCGCGCCTCCGACGGCGACGCGCTGCCGCGCCGGCTGCCGCGCCAACTGCCGCCCTTCGGCTCCCAGCTGCCCGCGCTGCCGTGCCGGCGGGGCGCGTGGTACTTCTCACCGTCGCTGTCGCGCGAGCGCGGCGACCCGGAGTTGTCCCGGGACTTCGGGCGCGGCGCTGGTCGTCGTTGTCGTCTTCGTCGTTGTCGCCGTCGTCGTTGTCGTTCGTGGTCGTCGTCGTCGTCGTCGTCGTCGTCGTCGTCGTCGTCGTGGTCGTCGCCATGGTCGTCGTCATGCTCGACGCAATTGTCGTCGTTGTGGCCATCGTCCTCTTCGTCGGCGTCGTTCTCGTCTTTCTCATCGTGAGCCTCGTCCTCGTCGGAACTGGGGGTGCTGCGCTTCGTAGTCCGTTGTCGCCGTCGTCGTCGTCGTCGTTGTCGTCGTTGTCGCCGTTGTCGCCGTCATCGTCGTCGCCGCCGCAACAGCCACCGTATGTTTATCAGCTAGGTTGGCTTCCCATGCCTTCTCGATTTGAGATGGCCTCCGGCAGGCGTCAAGTGGCCCCGAGGCAGCAGCGCCTCAGGGCCCGAAGACGCTCCTCGGACGGCCACAAGACGGCCCGAATGCCCTCAGAACTTCCTCCACGACTTCCCCAAGACACGTCCTCGTAGCCCCACGATGGTTCAACTGATCTTCTTCGGGCGGCATACGTAGAGCCATCGCTCCGAAGACGTCCTAAAAACGTAGTTGGAGTCCACACGGGCCCGCAAAACCACGGTCATTCCGCCTGGGGGGGCCGAGGCGAAGCGTATAACCATCGTTGCACCGAGCCTCTTCGAGAGTGCTTGGTGCAACTATCGGGCCGACGACAACCACGACCACCCTGGATGGCCTACTAGAAACCCCGCTGACTGCAGCAATCCTCTTCGGGAGTCCCTTGCAAAATCGTCTCGCCGACGGCAACCAGGAGCATCCCAAAAGGCCTACTAGAACCCCCGTGGGACGACGGTAAGGCGTGATGGACCTGAAGAACCCGACGAAGGGAAAACTTCATAGACAAAACCTCTGGGGAGGAGGAGGAGGAGGAGGAGGAGGAGGAGGAGGAGGAGAGGAAGGAGGAGAGGAGGAGGAGGAGGGAGGGTCGGAGCTGGACGCCCGCCTCCCTGGCGCACGGAGCGCGCCAGGGGCGGCGCAGGAGGCGCCGCCCACGGGGGTCCAGCGCCGACACCAAGGACCTCCGCGCGCACCTCCGAGAGCGTAATGCTCACGCAGTGCTCTCTCCTTCTTCTTCCTGCTCTTCGAGGACCCATCCTGCAGCACCGCGGGGGGGCCCACCGCGCAGTCGAGACCACGACCACGAGGCCGCCGACCGAGAGCACGAGCCCCCTCGCCGAAGGCACACGGCCCCGTGAAGGGACCCCCCAACGAAGAGCACCCCACCGGCGGAGAGCCCCGACAACGACGCACACCGCGGGGGCTGTTCGTCCGAGGCCCGGGCCGCTCGCGGCCCCCGTGCAAAGGCCTGCGGGGCAGCCTGGGAGCGGCATCTGTGCGGAGGCGGCGCGGCGGTCGCGGGCCTCGCCGGCAACGCGTGCAGCAAGATGCTGTGCGACGCGTGCGCGTGTGTGCACTGTGTGTGTGTGTTTGTGTGTATGCATGTTCGTGTGTGAAACAATGAATGTGGGTGTGTTGTTGTTATTGCTGTTGGTGTTGATGTTTTGCTGCTGTGGATGATGTTGTTGTTGCTGTTGTTGCTGTTATTGCTGTTGTTGGTGTTGTTATTGAGCTCCCACTACTGGAGAATCATTCTTGTTGATCCCGCCCCTCCGATTACCATTGTGCGTTTTCAAGTGAAGTGCTTCCCCTGGGGCACGCACCCTGTTTTTTTATCAGGGAACGTCACGGGGCTCAAAGTTGGCCCCTGGCCCCTGGTTCACAACAACAGAGGTTCCCACCTGATACTTCCTCACAATGTATTCCCAAATCGCGCTCTCGCGCGGGAGTTCCTCACAATTCATGTACGCATCACGCTCTCGCGTGGGACGCCCTCGCAATTTATTCAGACGACGCGCCCGCGGCGCTTAACTTAGGAATCACGCTCTCGTCTGGGCTTTTCTCATGATTTGCCTGGGAATCGCGCTATCGCTCGAAACTTCTCCGCGATTCATGCAGGACCCACGCTTCAGCAACCCGCCTGCTCGACCTGGTCGCCTGAGCCCACCTTCCCGACCTGCCCGCTATGGGTCTGCCCACCCGATCAGCCCGTCTGGTTCTACTATTTGTTTTCTGCTCCTTGCCCCACTCCTGCTAATTTCTCTCGTGCTCCATTCGTCTCCCTCCCCATTCCACTCATCCTCTCTTCCCTTGTTTTAGGGGCTGCACTACATGTATGTGGTAGGTAAGGAAGATATACCTCCATGAGGGTACGATCGAAGACGACGAGGGCGGGTACCGAGGGTTTGGGATGTACGTATTGATTGGCACGTGAGAAGATAGGGGCGAACAGTCGTACTATGATGATTGTTAGTGTTGTTGTTTGACTGAAGAATAATAATTGTTGATCCCCCCCTCCGGTGCACATGGTTTTTTTCAAGTGAAGTGCCCCTCCCAGGGCTCGCATCCTGTTTTTCATCAAGGAAAGGCTGCCTCCTCAAACTGAGCCTCTGGCCCCCGGTTCACAACAACAGCGGCTCCCGCTTCATACTTCCTCGAAATTTACTTCGGTCCCCCGCTCCCGCTTGAGATTCTCACAATTTACTGAAGAATCGCGCTCCCGCCTGAGACCCCCTCGCAATTTACTCAGGCGCCGCGCTCTTGCCATTCAGGAATCGCGCGTTCGCCGGGGACTTCCTCAAATATACTTCGGAATCGCTCTCTCGCGGGAAACTCCCTGGCGAATCACGGAGAAGGCATGAAGAAATAGCTACCCACCAAAAGTGGCATGATCGAAAACGAAGAGGGCGGGTATCGAGGGCTCGGGACACGCGCGCTGAATGACACTCGAGCACATAAGAGCTTTCAGTCTTGAAAGTGTTGCTGCTGTTGTGGCTGGGGTTGTTGCTGCTGTTGCGCGCCGTTGTCTCACTGTGGGCCCGACCGTCGGCGGCCTCGGGCCCGAAACCGCGTGGCGCGCGCGCACGACGGCGCGAGGGCAGGCGGAGCCTCGGCCGAATACCGAGGGCCACCGGCCTGCCTCCCGGTCGCGCCGGGGTGCAGCCCATCTTCGCGCGGGCGCGACCTGCGCGAGGGCACGCACGGCGAAGGCACGGGGTAACCGCGACAACCTCTCAAGCTCGCCCCCCCTTTCCCCCCCCCAACGCTCTCGGCTAGCAAGAACAGGCTCGTCTCCCCCTCAGGAATCCGAAGGGAGTCCTGGAAACCCTCGGGAAGCCGAAGGGAATCCATAGGACGAAACCCTAGGGAACCATATGAATCCTAAGGCAGCCCTTGGACTCTTACGAACCTCTAGGCTTTCCCGGGAAGTGCTTTAGGATCCCAAGGATTCCTAGGACTCCTATCCTGAAGAATCCTACGAATCACCTGGAACCCTTAGGAACCCGAAAGGAATCCGAAGAGATCCCTAGGACTCTTAAAGAGAGCGCGTTTCACGGGCGCTTGCCTTGGGAACGTTCGGCGGCACGTTTCGAACCGGGGGATGGGCCCCCCCGCCCCAACGCTCGGCGCCGTCATTCAGAACCATGGCAGGGGGACTCCCCTCCCCCCTCGGCGCCGGCGCCGGCGCTGGCGACGGCCAGCCAGCAGCGCCGACGGCAGAACGCAGCGACGATGACCAGAGAATGCTCAGGGGGAGGGGGAGGGGTTTCCACCCCCGACCACCACGCCAGCGTCGGCGCCAGCGCTGGCGGCGGCCAGAAGCGCCCACGGCGGGGACGCAGCGACGACGACCAGAAAGGAACCAGAGGCAACGGAGGGGAAACACCAATCGCAATATCGAGCCCTCGCCCCCCAAAAGCCACCGAGAGGCTCTTAGGAAGGTCCACGAGGCTTCAAAAATGCTCCTCAGACGCCCCCGACACCCATCTGACGAGACCATAAGAGGCATCCATTAAACCTCTGACTCGAAGCCAAAGCACGGTGGCGGCAAGCCCCGACGGCCACACCACCACCATCACAACCACCACAACCCACCAACACCACAACCACCGACATCACCACAAACCACTATACCACCACCACCACCAAAAACGCCACCACCACCAGCAGCACCACAACCACCACAACCCACCACAACCACCACCACCACAACAAACCACCACACCACCACGAACCACCACACCACCGCCACCACCATCACCACCACCGCCACCACCACCACCACCTCAACCCACTTCCACTACCACCACAAGCCACCATACCACCACCACCACAACCACCACCACCACCACCACCACCCACCACCCACCCCACCACCGCCACCAGCACCACCACCACCAGCACCACCACTACCACCAACAACACAGCCCACCACCACCACCACCACAAACCACCACGCCACCACCACCACCGCCACCACCACTACCACCACCACCATCACCCCAGCCCACCACCACCACAAAACCACCACACAACCACCACCACAGCAGCCACCACCACCACCAGAACCACAACAACTCACCACCACTACCAGCCACCACCACCCACCATCACAACAACCCAACACCACTACCACCACCACCACAATCTGCCACACCGCCACCACCGCCACAACAACCACCACAACTACAAGCAGCACAACCCACAACTACCACCACCACCACAAACCACCACACCACCGCCACCAACACCACCACCACCACCAACACCACCTCCACAACCCACCGCCACCACCACCACCACCAACACCACCGCCACCCACCACAACCCACCACCACCACCACCGCAAACCACCACCACACCACCACCACCGCAACCACCACCACCGCTCCCACCACCACAACCACAAGCCACCACAATCATCACCACTATCCGCACACCAACACAACCGTCACCACGACAAACCACCACACCACAACCACTACAACCGCCACCACGAACACCACAACCCACCACAACCACCACAAACCACCACACCACCACCACCACCACCCACCACCACCACCAGCACCAACACAAACCACTACCACCAAAACCACGGCCACCGCCACCACCGCCACCACCTCAACCCACCACCACCACAACCACTACCACCGCCACAACCACCACGACAAACCAACTCACCACCAGCGCCAACACCACCACCCACCACCACATCCCACCACCACCACCACAACTACCACAACCACCAGAAACCACCGCACCACCACCACCAACGCCACCATCACCACCACCTGGTACCACAACCACCACAACAACCACCACCAGCCGCCACGCCACCACCACCAATACCACCACCACCACCACCACCACCACCACCGTCACAACCACCACCACAACCACAGCTCACCACCGCCACCCTACCTCAGAGAGGCCCCAAGAGTCGCCCAAGAGGCGCCCAGGAGGCTTCACAAATGCTCTTCAGAGGCCCCCGTGAGCCCGCCGACGAGGCCCCAAGAGGCATCCATTAGGACTCAAAACCAAGACACGGCGGCGGAGCGTTGTCGTCGTCGTCGTCGTCGTCGTCGTCGTCGTCGCCGTCGCCCTCGTCGACGCTCCCCGCCGCCGCCGCCAGCCGCCGCAGGCGCAGGCGGCGGCCCAGAAAAAGAAGTCGTCGCCTTCATCGACGATCCCCGCCGCCGCCGCCAGACGCCGCCGACGTCAGCGCTGGCCCGAGGAGAGGGAGAAAAGGGGGAGGAGGGGGGGAGGGATTCGAACCTTCCCCCCCTCCGTCCATCCAGGGGAGGGGGCGCCCCAACCGCAGCCATTCCTGAGCATCCTCACGGTGACCAAGCCTACCAGCACGGGGCCCAAGCGGTGAGCGCGTGCACCGCGGACGTGCAGGACTGCGTGCTGGAAGCACCGTGGCGGCGGCCGTGTGGTGGCAGCACCTGCGGTGCAAGAGATGCGACCGTGCGGTGCAGGAGCTATATGGTGGAGAAGGAGAAGGAGAAGGAGAAGGAGCAGGAGGAGAAAGAGGAGAAGGAGAAGGAGGAAGAGGAGGAGTAGGAGTAGGAGAAGGAGAAGAAGGAGGAGGAGGAGGAGGAGGAGGAGGAGGAGGGAGAGGGGGAGGCAGAGGGGGAGAAGCGGGGAGGGGCAGTGCAGGGAGGCAGACGCGCCCGCGGAGGAGGCAGAGAGAGGGAGGGGCGGGCGCACGTTTGGCAGAGGCCGAGGGCAAGCGGCGCTCGCCTGGCTGGACCCCTTCGGGAGGCCGCGGAGCCGCGCCGAGAAGGAACCTCCGGGCGCGTGCCACCCTCTGCCGCCCTCCGGGCGCGTGCCTCCTCCTGGTGCTGCTGTTGTTGCTCCTCCTGCTCCTCCTCCTTCTGCTCCTCCTCCTCCTCCTCCTCTTCCTCCTCCTCCTCCTCCCGCTCCTCCGCCTCCTCCTCCCCCTGCTCCAATCTTTCCCTCATAAAAGTTTTCTCCCTGTCGCACCCCGGGGCCAGTTTTTAGGGCGGGCCGGGCGTTTCGCCTGAGACTTCCTTACCACTTATGACTCTGAAGCGTAAAAAATTGGCAACAGCTTCACAGATGGAGGGCGGGTGGTGTTCAAAAGGTGGCTCTCGCCTGAGCGCCGCGCACACTTGCTTTAAGTGATGCAAGATGATCACGGTCGTTTTCAAAATGTGACTCTCGCCTTAGCGCCGCGCACATTCGTTTGAACGGTGCAAGAGTTTCACGGGTTGAAAGCGGGCCGTTTTCAAAATGTGGCTCTCGCCGTAGCGCCGCGCACATACGACTTTAACATTATACAAGACCTTCACGGATTGAGGGCGGGTGGTTTTCAAAATGTGGCTCACGCCTTGGCACCGCGCACAAGGCTTCACGGATTGAGGGCGGTTCGTTTTCAAAATGTGACTCTCGCCTTAGCGCCGCGCGCGCTCCTGCACACAATTCTCAAGAGTTTGGGAAGGATTCAGGATTATGCGGGTGCAGCAGTTGCCTTGATTCTCTGCGTTGAAGTCCCAGGAATGGCGCTCTGGCACGATTCGGGATCATCAAGACGTAACAGTCAGGTTGATCCGTGGCGCTGAATCCCGAGAACAATGTTTTGGCATGCTTCAGGGTCTTCAAACGCGTGTCTTCCAACGAAGCAGTTCCATCAATGGAGATGCACCGTTGTAGGGGCATATGACGAGGGAGCTTGGCGGGAGGGTTTACTCCAACATCGTTGATGACTCTTGGGTTTACACTGGTCCTCCTCCTCCTTCTCCTCTCTGTCGTGCCTCTCCTCTCTCTGATGCCCGGGGCTGGTGGCGTGTCCAGGTCTAGTCTCGGCGCCATCGATGCCCCCCCCACACCCCAGGCTGCAGCAAAGGTGAGGGCAGAAGCGCCACACTTGCGAGCAGAGAGAGAGAGAGGGAGAGAGAGAGAGAGAGAGAGAACGGGAGAGGGGGATAAAAAGAGAGTTTGAGAGAGGGGGAGAGAGAGAGAGATAGAGAGAGAAAGAGGGCGAGAGAAGGAGAGGGAGAGAGGGAGAGAGAGAGAGAGAGGAGATGGAGAACGAGAAAGCGAGAGAGGGAGACGACCGGACGACGGGAGGAGAGCAACATCTGCACGTGAAGGGCCTCCTCCCTCTCCGCTTCCTTGTCTCCCCCCCATACTCTCGCTACTCCTCCCCAATGTTCTCCTCGGCCCCTCCTCCGTTCTCCTCCTCCTCCTCCTCCTTCTTCTCCTCCTCCTCCTCCTCCTCCTCCTCCTCCTCCTTCTCCTCCCCCGTCCCCGTCCCCGATCTCGTCCTCCTCCTCCTCCCTCCTTCTCCTCCTCCTCCTCCTCCGCTTCCCCCCCTCCTCCTCCTCCTCCTCCTTTTCCTCCTCCTCCTCTCCTTTTCCTCCTCCTCCTCCTCCTCCTCCTTCTCCTCCTCCGCCTCCTTCCTTCCTTCTTCTCCTCTCCTCCCTCTCATCATCACCATTATCAGCATCATCATCATCATCATCATCATCATCATCATCATCATCATCATCATCATCATCATCATCATCATCATCATCATCATCACCGCCACCACCATCCTCCTCCTCCTCTTCCTCCTCCTCCTCCCCCTCCTCCTCTCCCTCCTCCTCCTCCCTCCTCCCTTCCTCCTCCTCCTCCTCCTCCTCCTCCCTCCTCTCCCCCCATCATCATCATCATCATCATCATCATCATCATCATCATCATCATCATCATCATCATCATCATCATCATCATCATCATCATCATCATCATCATCTTCAACATCATCATCACCATCATCATCATCATCATCATCATCATCTTCATCATCATCATCATCATCATCATCCTCATCATCATCATCCTCATCAGCATCATCATCAGCAGCATCATCATCAACCTCATCATCAGCAGCAAAATCATCAACATCATCAGCCTCGTCATCACGATCAGCCTCATATTCCTCATCCTTGTTCTCAGCAGCATCAACATCTGCAGTATCGTCTTCCTTATCCTCATCATCATCCTCATCATCGTCATCATCATCAGCATCATCATCACAACCGCCACCACCATCACCATCACCATCACCATGACCACCACCATCACCACCACCATCACCATCGTCCTCATTATCAACAGCAGCAGCATCATACTCATAATCATAGTCACCATTACCAGCATCAGCATCATCATGTCATTGTGCTCATTCTCATCAGCATCATTATCATCAACAACATCATCATCAGCAGCATCCTCCTCCTCCCCCTCCTCCTCCTCCTCCTCCTCCGCATCATCATCATCATCATCACCATCATCATCATCATCAGCCTACTCATCCTTCTCTCCCCCGCCTCCTCCTCCTCCTCATCATCCTCATCATCCTCATCAACATCATCATCAGTATCACTATCATCACCAGCATTATTACCATCATCACCAGCATCATCATCACCATCATGATCATGACCATGATCATGATCATCATCATCATCATCATCATCAGCAGCAGCAGCAGCATCATCACTATCATCAACATCAATCGAATGATCATCATCCTTCTCCTCACCGTCCCTCCCCCTTCCCCTGACACCTCGCGCCTGGCCACAGCACGCCACGAGCCCACATCCACCAGCCCGGTTGCCCGCCCAACGGTGCAAAACGATGCGCCCGGGGTGCTCCCTCGGTGTACCGGGGGGCTGTCCACTGGCCCGCCTTCTTCTCCGCCGGCGGATTGACACCGCTGTCGCGAGTCAAGTATGTACGGGGCCAGACCCCCTCACGTCGGCAATCAATCGCGACGGGAGGTTTTTGGCCCCTCTCGGCTCCTGGAGGCGCCTTACACCGGGCCCCAGAGCCGTCAGAAAACTTTTCGGGATGACGAACTCGACACGGGGAAGGCTCAAGTGCGCCGGCAGCGGCGAATTCCATACGTCACCGAGCCTTCGCGACAGCAGCCAGTGCGTAAACAGCACTGGCTCGGGCTGCGCCCTTGTACGAAACATCGAGCGAATCAGGCATCAGTCAGGGACTTGAATTGGTAAATCCTCTGGGGGCCCACGCGAGACAATCATGTCGTCGGGGGCGCGGGGGTCGCGTCGGAAAACAGCCAGAAGGCCCGCATGCCCCCCACCCCGCCCCATGGGCACCTTCAATTATCCTGCTGCTGGCTCGTCCCTCATCCTGCCCTGCCCCCCCCCCTCTTCTGCCCTGCCTCCGCCCCCTCCTCGCTCGCGAGGCTCCTCCCTGCCCCCCTGCGCCTCACACTCAACACCCGCTGCTGGTGCCGCTTTCCCTCCTCGTGCGGCTGCTGCCCCTCCCGCTCCTCACAGCCTCCTCCGCCTGTACACGCTACACTCTGATGGCACGAGTGCCACGATTAGGGGCGCTCCTCCGCCTCCTCCTCCTCCTCCTCCTCCTCCTCCTCCTCCTCCTCGTCTTCCTCATATTCCCCCTCATCCTCCTGCTCCTCCTCCTCCTCCTCCTCCTCCTCCTCGCCACCCTTCCCGCACCCGCCCCCTCGGCCTCCCCTAACCCTCGTCCTTCCCCCCTCCCCCCCCTTTCGCAGGTTCCCGACGTCGTGATTTTTCCATGACCCGAGGGGGTCTGGGCTCCCCATCGTCACCGTCCTCTGTCGGGGACCTACTGACCGGCGTGAACGCAAGCCCAGGAAGCCCCGGTCGATGCAAGCTCGCGGACCTACTGGCCCAAATCCGCCGGGTTTTGCAGGACCCCGCAAGAATCTGCAGAATCCTGCAGGCTCCTGCACCGAAGCCCGGGTCAGTGCACCCCTGGCTTTGCAAGATCCTGCAAGGTCCAGCGCTCTGACAGACCCCCAGCTTGGGGAAATCAAAATGCACCGATACCGCTACTCCCCGGGCCTCTCTCGGGTCTCTCGGGGTGCGTTCTGACCAGACTCTCGAAGCGAATCCAGCGGTGGCGACCAGGGCCTCTCAGAAGGCCCGGCCGGGGAAACGGGGGAAGGGTAGAGGTACGGGTGCCTTTCCTCCTCCGACCGTTGGCAGGGACCCCCGCCCCCTGGGGCCCCGACTCTGGGGGCCGCAGCGGCGCGCGCGCGCGTGCGCTGCCGCGCGCGTGGCCGCGGCGGGACGGCCTGCCCCGAACACGTCCGGCCCCCGCCGCAGCACGTCGGGGTGCCTGCCCCTCTGCCGCCGAGGAGGAACAGGGGGGGGAGGAGGAGGAGGAGGAGGAGGAGGAGGAGGAGGAGGAGGAGGAGGAGGAGGAGGAGGAGGAGGAGGAGGAGGAGGAGGAGGAGGAGGAGGAGGATTAGCAGGATTAGCAGCATTGGCGCAACCAGACTCCATGAGCGCAGGGAAGCCAAAACACTGGGCAGCCTTAGGCGTCGAGCCTGGGCCGCCCTCGGCTGAAAAACAACAAAAAAGGGGCGCCCCGTGCCGCGGGGGCCCCCAGCGGACCCCAGCAGCCCCCACTAATAGGGCAGCCAGGGCCGACGAAACCCCAGGGCGGTGCGGGCCGCACTGGATGCGCCGTGCGGCGCACCGCCCTGGGGGCCAGGGGCCCCACGCGACAGCAGACGGCCCCCGCTTCCCGCACCCCTCGCGCTCTCGGCGCTGGCGAAAGGTGCCTTCGCGCCTCGAGTCGGGCGTGTGAGGCACGCCTTCGCGCGCTGCACCCGTCGCGCCCTCGGAACAGGCGATGCGTGGCGCGTCGCAGGCCCGAGGGAGTCCGGAGGAGGAGGAGGAGGAGGAGGAGGAGGAGGAGGAGGAGGAGGAGGAGGAGGAGGAGGAGGAGGGAGGAGGAGGGAGGAAGGGAGGGGAGGAGGAGGAGGGAGGAGGAGGAGAGGAGGAGGAGGAGGGAGGAGGAGGAGGAGAGGAGGAGGAGGAGGAGGAGGAGGAGGGAGGGGGAGGAGGAGGAGGAAGGAGGAGGAGGAGGAGGAGGAGGAGGAGGGGAGGAGGAGGAGGAGGAGGAGGAGGAGGGAGGAGGAGGAGGGGAGGAGGAGGAGGAGGAGGAGGAGGAGGAGGAGGAGGAGGAGGAGGAGGAGGAGGAGGAGGAGGAGAAGGAGGAGGAAGAGGGGGGGAGGAGGAGGAGGAGGAGGAGGAGGAGGAGGAGGAGGAGGAGGAGGAGGAGGAAGGAGGAGGAGGAGGAGGAGGAGGAGGAGGAGGGGGGGGAGGAGGACGAAGATGAGGGCACGCCTGCCTGACTGCGGCACGGCAGCGGGTGGCGGCCTCAACGGGGAGGGGGCGGACGGGCGGACGAAGGGCCCAGACGGCCGCGGACAGGGTCCCCTCCCCAGACCTGGCTGCCTGGCCTTGTGGAGCGGAATGCGATCGGTCGCCACAGAGAGACACCAGGAAGGAGAGACAGAATAACACGAATATGAATGATTAATCTTAAGAAACAAAATAATAATAAGGATAATAACCGGATCAATGATTGGAAAAAAGAAGAAGAAGAAAAAGAAGACGAAACATAAGAAGAATCGGCAGAACACGAAGACCCAGACCCACTCGCGTGGTGAAAAAACACGGCGGGAGGTTTCTCGCTATTGTCGGCCTCCGGGGGCCCTTCCCGGGCCTCGGGAGCAGCAACAAAAACGACCCAGGATGCAAAACGGTCGCGGGGAAGGGGTCCAGACCTCTGGGGGTCGACGTTGTGAAACAATCACGTCGTTTGGGGTCTGGGGAAGAAGGAGAAGGATAAGAGGAACACGAAACAAAAACTTGAGGCATCAGGAGCACCGCCGTCACGGAGTACGCAGGCGGCCAAGGGAAGACATGCAGCCAGTGCTCACCTGGCAGCCAACAGAGTCTGACGCTTCGCTTGTGAAGGAGCTCCATGTGTCTACAATCAGCCAGAAGACCAGAGAGGAATGCTCTGGAGGCCAGCGGATATGGATCTGAACATCCAGACGCATTGCATATTCACTGCACTCCGTATAACCAAGTGGGCAGAACTCGAAGGCAACCGTTTTCTTGTGCATGCTTCGCGTTTGGACCCTCCGCGCAACCAATTCGCAGGACAGTGTATTGTGAAGCTTTTCGACTGCACCGTTAGCCGATGGCACAGTGCGTGCGCGCTCGCAACGCAACAGTGCCACTTATCTGGGAAATCGCTCCCATAGAGTCCCACTCGCCGCTCGTTGCCAGGGTGCGCTCCAGCTCTTGTGCGCGAAGGTTGTCTTTCATATCCGCTGTCCTCCGCGAGCGACGCATTCAGATCTACGCGAAGTCACAGGCATCGAAGGCACCGTGGGATACTGCCAGAAGTGCACTGATGAAGCCTCCCAAGGGGGATAACAAGGACATCCTCATGGCTTACGTCTGCTGCCATCGCCGTCGTCACGCAAACTGTGGCCGAGGTCGTGGCCGTGAAGGCCGAATCGCCTGGCCGTGTCCGTCGGCGGCGCGCGGCCCGGCAGCTGGCATGGTGGGCACACCAATTGAGACATCGGCCTGCCAGCGGGTGCCCCCCCAACGGAATGTTCTTCAGGTCCTGCCGCGAGCGAGCCCCCCCCCCCCCCCTGTGCAGCGTGCCGCGGCGGCGGCCCCGGCGAAACGCTATACTCAGCGCGGGCATGTGTCCCCCTACAAGCGGATCTAGCAGGACAGGCGACAGCAGAAAAAACGGAAAACAAAACGGTCAAGCATAGTCAGACAAATCGTCCCCTGACGAACTCGCGACGATTCTTTAAGAGTTCCTCCTGCAGGGGGACACGGCCGACTTCACGCTGTACCCTGCAAGCGGCTGCCGCGTCGCTCCGCTCGGCGGTGCGGAGGGGCTGGGAGCAATCTTCGAACGAAGGATTGCAAAAAAAAAACCCTTGAACGAAGGATTGCAAAAAAACCCTTCGTTTGAACGAAGGATTGCAAAACAAACCCTCGTTTTTTGCAATCCTTCGTGCAGCCTTCGTCGAAGGATGGCAAAAAAACCCTTCGTTTTTTGCAATCCTTCGTTTTTTTGCAATCCTTCGTTTTTGCAATCCTTCGAGCAGCTGGCGCTTGGGGACGGGGACGCGGACAGCGTGTCGCGCCGAAGTGTGGCGGGCCAGGACTGCAAGGGCCCTGGGGCACACAAGTAAATACGGCAGGTTCGTGTCGTGTCGACCCCAGCGTTGGTTTTTGACACCGCAGGGATCAGGGCAGGTTCGCGTCGTGTCGACCCCGGCGTTGGTTTTTGACACCGCAGGGATCGTTCAACCTTGAACGATCGGCCGTCTCCGCAACGTCCAATCGTTCAACATCGACCGATTCTGGGCCGCCGGCGGCGTTCAACCTTGAACGCCCGCGCTGGGGTCGCCGCTGGTCGACACGACGCAAACCTACCGTAAATACACACGAATAACAGGATTCCCAGTCTCATCCCATGCTTTCTGGGCTCTTGTCGTTCCCCCCACTTCCAATATATTTTCCCATATCTTCCTGGGAGTCGAGGATTCATTGTGTCTGTGCTTTTTTCCCTCCTGAAGAGCTGGCGCCACGACGCGATCAGCCAAAGCTCCCGGCCGTAATCCCCCCGATGGCCCACGGGTATGACTGAGTGTCTGGAGCATCTCAATATACGAAGAATTTGTAGTTCAGTGTCGATTGCAACAGGATGTCTGATCGTACGTGTCTACTGTGGCGCCTCTTCTCTCTTCCGCATCCCACTCCTCAACAAGCTGCGGAATGAGCTCTGTACGCGATCATGCCCACAACATACAACCAAAGCACCGCACAACACAATGAAAGGTGGCTGGTCCAGTTTAACCCGACAATACCCATCCTTCCCCCGCGCCTCGTGGTGTCTCGCGGACACCTGGACTACTCCTCATCCAATCATCCCCTGGAGGCCAAACAAATGGGGTCCGAGCGAACGGGGCCGGAGGATTGTGCCGCATCGCCGCCTCATGGGCGATGCATCGGCAGCGTCGGCGGCGCATCGGCGTCGACGGCGTCGAGAAGAGCGGGCTCCACATCGAGCCGCCTCGCCGATGCATCAGCGATGCGGCTCCGTTCTCCGACCCGTCTAAACCCTGCGGAACGCTTAAGAAATCATGGGTTAAGACATTCGCAGTCTCAGAATTTGAATAAAAAGCATAAAAGTTGCATCAAAATCTTAGGATTCGCATTGAAACGTTAAGAATAATCGAGACTCTGGCCGAAAACGTAAGTTTCTTAGGCATCGCCTAGGGTGTACTCCAGCCCCAGCTAGCCCGCTCGGAAGCCGTGAGCCAATCACACGTGCCATCCCCTGGGGGCGCACCCTTCACTCCCGCCGGCTTCCGCCAGCTTCCCGCCCGTGGAGGCCTCCTCGTTTTTCTTTCGTCTCCGCGGGCGTCGCGGGCTTCCGCTGGCCGTCCGCTGGGGAAGAGAGGGGGCAACCGGTTTGTGAATTCACAGAGCTCGAACGGTTTTCGAACTCACAGACTCGGTTTTTGAGTGAAGAACTGGTTTTGGGTTCAGAAGAAAGCTCTCGTCGGGGATGGACAGACCCCCCTTTAGCAAAGCGTGGTTTAGTGAAAACGACCTGAGGACCAGACCTGGCGGGCGCAAGCCTGGAAAATAACGGCCGCGGCGCCCGCTCGAAAACCGAAAACGGACAATTCACTGATCGACGTGTCACTGTTGGGGGTTCTGTCCACCCCCGATCTCGTTGGAATCCAACGGGCTCAGAGAAACCTCCACGGCGGGGCCCCCGCCGGGAGGGCCCGCGCGCCAGCTGGGGAGGCCAAGGCGCTGCCCTCTCCCTGCCCCTGCCCCCCGGGGTGGAGCCCGCGGAGCTCCGCCAGGGCCCCGGAGAAGCGGGGGCGCGCAGACACCGTCCACGCGTAGAGTTGAGTCGGGCGTGCTCCCCCTACAGGGGGATGTTCGACGAAAACTAAAGAATACCCAAACAATGCTCCAAAACGGTCAAACAATAATAGAAAATAGTCCCCAGTTTTTTTTGATTACTTTTGAGCATGCCTCCTGTAGAGGGACAGGCCCTAAAAAATACCAAAACAATGCTCCAAAAGGGTCAAAAAAAATAAAAACTAGTCCCCAGTTTTTTTATTTACTTTTGAGCATGCCTCCTGTAGAGGGACAGGCCCGACTTAAGCGTAGAAGAAGAAAGCGCGAAAAGGATGCAGAGGCCTTGGAAGGCCAGGTCGACGCCTTTCGAGCGGGGCGCGGCCAGCGAGAGTGGCCAAGGATGGGCCCAAGGAGCAAGGATTCCTAACGATCCCTGCCATAAGGAACTCTGGGTGAATCGGGGGCGCGCAAGCATGGATTGGCGATCCATGGATTTGGCGCGCGGTCGCCAAATCCATGGATCGGGGGAGGTACCCTCCCCAAAATGCGGCCGGCGCCGCCCAGCTCGGCGGCGGAAAGGTGCAATTTCCCGTGGCAATGGGACCCGTCGCCGATCCACGCCCCCTCGATCCATGTTTGCGATCGCCTGAGAGAAGCATATGCTTAGCTTTAGATCGGGCATGTCCCCCTACAGGCGGATTCGGGGCAAAAGATAAACAAATACCCCAAACAATACACCAAACATATTCAAAAACAGTTCAAAGATCGTCCCCAGACTGTGTTCTGACTACTTCTGAATATTCCTCCTGTAGAGGGGCACGCCCGACTTAAGCTTAGCCCCCCACGCCCAACTGCGGTCGCCACGTTCCAATGCCGGGCCCTTCGGGATGAAGGCCACCTCCGCGCATGCACAGAGAGCCCCGAGACGGAGGAGCATCGAGACTTCAGCTGTGCCGTACACGCGCTGGGCGTGCTGACGCTTGAAGATCATTGCAGCGCTCTGGAAGCGCTGCCGCTTCCCGCCCGCCCCCAGCGTTCCACCCGTTTCAGCATGAACCGACCGTCCTGGCATCCCTGTAGGGTTAACACGACATGTTCTTCGAACCAAATCGTGTTCTAAGAACATAAGCCACCTTCTTTGAACATAGAGCCGATGGATGAAAACAAGACGGCCTCAGCCATCAATGTTCTAAGGACATCTGCAAACCAGAATGAGCAACTCGACAATTCCTTCGTGGGCCTCTGGGCAAGACAGGGCACCTGGCCACTGCCTGAACCCTCCCGGCTCATCCTCCCTCCCTCCCTCCCTCCTTGCCCTCTCTGTGCGCCGCACTCCCCCCCCCCGCTCCGTCCCCGCCAGATGGCTTCCCGCGCGGACGACGGCGCGTAGGTGTTGATGGGTGGCAGGGTCGGGCTGCGGGCCAGCCGCGGACGAGGGCATCCTCCCCCGCTCCTGCCGGCTGCTGCCGCTGCTCCACCTCCTCCTCCTCCTCCGCCTCCTCTTCCTCCTGGTCTTCCTCCTCCTCCTCCTCCTCCTCCTCCTCCTCCTCCTCCTCCTCCTCCTGATTCCACCATCCTTCCCACACACATCTTGACACTCCTTATCGCCCTCTTCCTCCTCCTCGTCATCACCCTGTGCTCGGTCACTCCTCATCGCCACCCTCCTTCTCTTTCTCCTCGCTCCTCCGGTCCAGGCTCCTGCTTCTGCTCCTTGCTCGCCCGGGTCCCAGGCCCCGTCCCGAAGCTGCTCCTCCATGCCTCTTCTACTTCAACGCTGCCCACAGGCCTTGGCTGTTGGCGTTGGCTTCAGGGTCAGCTTTTGCCACGCGTGCCACCAAGCCAATCTGGAACCGAACACAAGATGACCAGCAATCGGCGAGCCCACGCGTGGAAGCTTGCCTCGGGCGACATAGCCTTGCTCGCAGTCCTGTTGTTCACGGTAAGTTCGGCGGCCTGCTCGTCTTGCGCGGCACCTGTCTTGATTGAGCAGGACTGAGCTGTGGACGTCCTGATCCTCCAACTCCTCAGAATGATCCTCTTTCTCCTCCTCCTCCTCCTTCTCCTCCTCCTCCTCCTCCTACTCCTTGAGTTCCTGCTCTTCCTACAGCTAGTCGGATTGGAACGCACGGCGACTTCCCTGCTCACGAGGGTGTTTTTTCGATCCAGCCGCAAGCAAACTTGAACAAGTGAATTCCGGTGGCCACTTCGCCTCTTCAGGTGTTTCCGTCTCGGGGACGTCGGCAGATGCAGCGGAGGGAAGAATAACCACCCTCATAGTAAGTAGCCCGACGAACGAAGTCCTTCAGTTGAACGCACCTGGGAGTGAAATCGACCAGGACAAGGCTGTTTAGAAAACGCCCAAGACGATCGATGTAAACGCTGGCTAGAGGAAGGCAAGCTTTTCCGCCCTTCATTCAGAGCCCTGCGGCCCTGTCATAAGAGGAGGCTGGGTTGGCCGCTCTGCCAGCTGGTACGGCACCAAATGAGGCCACAGTGGAATGCTCGACCGCAGAACGCGTCAACGCACACACACACACACAAAGAGTGCGAGAAGGCGTCGGCTTCCATCCACTTCGCTGGCAGGCTCAAGAAGGTGTGCGCGGCGACGGCACGAGGGCGCACACACTGTTTTGGGGGCGTCGCGGCCACACGCGCGGCGGAGTCTGGCGGCAGGCGGTCGAATGTGGGCAGGACGACTCAAACGTACGCACACGCAAACACACGCACACACGCACACGCACACGCACGCACACACACACACACACTCACACACAAACACACACGCGCGCGCATACACACACCCACACACACACACACACACACGCACGCACGCACGCACGCACGAGCGCTCACACGCACGCACGCACACACGCACGCACGCACGCACGCACGCGCGCGCACACACGCACAGACACACACAGACGCACACAGACGCACACAGACGCACACACACACAGACACACACACACAGACACACACACACACAGACACACACACAGACACACACACACACAAACACGCACACTTTTTGCGTCGGCGGCTAATTGAGAGTGACTGCGCTGGCGGGTGTGGACACACACACACACACACGCACACAGAGACTTGTTGCGTCGGCGGCGAGGCAGGGGTCGTCTGCGCCAGCGGCATGGCCCAAACGGGGAGAATTGCCGCTGAAGCGACATGCGCCACCATGCAGGAGGGAGGGGAAAACCGCGGAGGACGCGGCCGAAAGAGGGGGCGGAGGGAGCGAGCCGCTCACGGGGGACGGGCCACGCCCCGAGCGAGTGGCGCGGCCAGCCCCGCCGGCGGGCACACGCGCACACACACGCACACACACACGCACACACATACATACACACACGCACACACACACACAAACACACACGCACGCACGCACGCACGCACGCACGCACGCACGCACGCACGCACGCACGCACGCCCCCCCCCCACCCCACACCCACACACACACGCGCGCACCGGGTCCGGGGGCCCGGGGCCGGGACCACGACCGCAAATGTGGGGACCGGGGGCTCTGGAGGCGCCGGAGGCCCACAGAATGCCATTAGAAAGCGCCAGGAGAGCCCCAAGACGCTCCAAGAGAGACCCGAGACACCCAAAGGTCGCTCTAAGACGCCCAGCATTGCCTCTGGACGGCTTCAGAAGCCCCCAAGACGCCCCAAAAGGCGTCCAAGCCGCGCCCGAAGAGATCTCCAAAAGGCAAAAATAGCCCCGTTCCCTTCGTAAAACGTATTTTTACTACATCAATTGTTTTCGCTGCCGTACAGTTCATGACGACGCCGGAGGCCCCCAAGACAGCCCCAAGCCAGCCCAAGAGGCGCCCCAGAGGGCCCCAAGACGGCCCAAGAGAGCCTCAAGACGGCCCAAGAGGCGCCCAGAACAGCCCAAGTGCGGCCCTGAGGCCCACAAAAGGCTACCAGAAAGGACTCGGGACGTTCCAAACGCGACCCGAGACGCCCAATGGTCGCACCAAGACGCCCAACATCGCCCCAGACGGCTTCAGAAGCCGCCAAGACGCCCCAAAAGGCCTCCAAGACGCGCCCGAAGAGATCTCCAAAAGGGCAAAATAGCCCCATTCCCTTCGCAAAACGTATGTATGTATGTATGTATGTATGTATGTATGTATGTATGTATGTATGTATGTATGTATGTATGTGTGTATGTGTGTGTATGTATGTATGTATGTATGTATGTAATGTAATGTAATGGAATGGAATGGAATGGAAAGGAATGGAATGGAATGGAATGGTATGTATGTATGCATGCATGCATGCATGTATGTAATGTATGTAATGTATGTAGTGTATGTAATGTAATGTATGTATATATGTATGTATGTATGTATGTATGTCTGTATGTATGTATGTATGTATGTATGTATATATATATATATATATATGTATGTATGTATGTATGTATGTATGTATGTATGTAGGTATGTATGTATGTATGTATGTATGTATGTCTCTCTCTCTCTATATATATATATATATATGGTGAGGGGTCCTGGACCAGGGGGGGGGGGGCCTCACTTTGCCCAGTGGCCGTGGTCACCCCCCCGCCGGAGACGCCAGGGCGCTCCCAGGACCCTCTAAAATGGCTCCAGGACGCCCTCAGGACAGCCCAAGAGAGGTCCGAAGCGGCCCAGGAGCACTCCAAGACGGTTAAAAAGCTGCCAAAGCGTCCCAGCAGGTCTCCGACAGCACCCCCGGGAGGGGCCCAATAGGAAAGTGTCATTGATTTTTAGCGGGTTTTGAAGGGTTTTGACTCCCCAGTTCGGCTTCCAGACGCTCCAAGGCGGCCCAAGAGGCCCGAAAGATAGCCTCAAGACGAGCCCAGAGGCCCCCACGAGACCACCGAGACAGCCCAAGAGGGCCCCAAGACGGCCCAGGAAGCTTCCAAGACGGCCCAAAAGAGCTCCCAGAACACTCCAAGAGGAGCCCCAGATGGGGAACACGAGCTGACATTTCGAGCCCTCGCCAACCAGAAGCTCCCAAGAGGCCCCCAGGAGTCCGCAAGAGGCCTCGAGAGGCCCCCAGGAAGCTCCAAGAGGCTTCCAAAAGGCGCCGAAAGGGCCCCGCAAGGCTTCCAGACGCTGGTGATAATGTCAATGATGATTATACAGGGCGGCCTCAGGCCCACAACCTAAATCCCCAATACTGCTCACGCGGCATGCAAGACGCTGCGGAGATATCCTCGAGTTCGGCGGGGGAGCTTCGGAGACGACGGTGAAGAAAATGATGACGATGATGACGACTATATGAAGTTGACGACGATGATGATGATGATGCTGATGATGATGATGATGATGATGATGATGAGGAAGAGGAAGAACATTATGATGATGTTGACAGTGGGAATGATGATGCTGATGATGATGATGTTGATGATGGTGATCGTGATGTGAGTGATGGTGGTGATGGTGATGGTGGTGATGCTGACGATCATGATGACGATGACGGTGATGCCGTTGAGGATGGTGATGTTGACGATCATTATGGTGATGCTGCTGATGGTCAGGATGATAACGCCGATGCTGTTAATAATGGTGGCGATGCTGTTTATGGTGCTTGTGATGCAGGAGTGGGCGGATGATGAAGATGATGACGATGATGATGACGATAACGATGACGACGATCACGACGACGACGACGATAATGATGACGATGGCGATGATGAGGATGATTATGTTGATAATTCAGGTGACGATATTGACGATGATGACGACGATGGCGATGATGACGATGGTGATGACGATGTTGCTGCTGATGGTGGTGATGGTGACGATTGTGATGATGGTGATGGTCATGGTGATGATGACGATGCCGCTGACGATGACGCCGGATATGATGGAGGATGGCGATGATGACGATGGCGATTATCTTAGCTAGAACCACGCGCGCGCTTCGCGCGCGCTTAGGTTCTGTCGAGTCACAGACCCAGGAATCGTTGTGAGAAGAAATTGGTGACGCGAAGCGTCGTGGGGGCGTCCTTGGACGTCTGGGGTCTCCTGGGGCCTCTTGAGGGGCCTCCTGGGGGCCTCCTGGCGGCCTCTTGGGGCGGAAGGCTCGAGCTTGCGGTTCGTGGTCCCCCTCTGGGCCCCCTCTTGGGCCCGTCTTGGGGCCCTCTTGGGCCATCTTGGGCGCCTCTTGGGCCGTCTTGGGGCCCTCTTGGGCTGTCCTGGGGCCCTCTTGGAAGCTTCTTGGGCCGTCTTGGGGCGGTCTTGGGCGCCTCTTGGGCCGTCCTGTAACGTCGGAAAGCCCAAAAGGCGACTTTGTTGAAAATGTACGTTTTACGAAGGGAATGGGCCAATTTTGCGTCTAGGGGCCCTCTTGGGACGCATGTTGGAGGCTTCTTGGGGCCTCTTGGGGGCGTCCTTGGACGTCTGGGGTCTCCTGGGGCCTCTTGAGGGGCCTCCTGGGGGCCTCCTGGCGGCCTCTTGGGGCGGAAGGCTCGAGCTTGCGGTTCGTGGTCCCCCTCTGGGCCCCCTCTTGGGCCCGTCTTGGGGCCCTCTTGGGCCATCTTGGGCGCCTCTTGGGCCGTCTTGGGGCCCTCTTGGGCTGTCCTGGGGCCCTCTTGGAAGCTTCTTGGGCCGTCTTGGGGCGGTCTTGGGCGCCTCTTGGGCCGTCCTGTAACGTCGGAAAGCCCAAAAGAGAACTTTGTTGAAAATGTACGTTTTACGAAGGGAATGGGCCAATTTTTGCGTCTAGGGGCCCTCTTGGGACGCATGTTGGGGGCTTCTTAGGGCCTCTTGGGGGCGTCCTCGGACGTCTGGAGGCCATCTTCAGCATCTCGGAGCCCTCTTGGAGGCCTCTTGGAAGTTTCTTGGGCCGTCTTGGGCGTTCCTGGGGCCGTCTTGTCTGACCGGGGAGGCCTCCGGCAAGCCCCGGCGAGCCTCCAGAGCCCCCGGTCCCCACATTTGCGGTCGTGGTCCCGGCCCCGGGCCCCCAGACCAGGTGCGCCGTTATATGTATACACGCACACACACAAACACACACGCACGCACGCACGCACGCACGCACGCACGCACGCACGCACGCACGCACGCACGCACCCCCCCCCCCCACCCCACACCCACACACACACACACACACACACACATCTTCACACACACACACACACACGCACG